TCACGGGATCGCAGGAAAGTCGACGAGTCACACGGGAAAGGGGTGGCGGAGCTCAGGAGCTCGGTGATCCGGATCAATAGCAGAAATGCCTCACCTGCGAGGTGAAGAGAGAAGAAAGGCGAAAAAGAAAATCTGAGCTGTAGGATAGGAAGGGAGAAGCAGGGATCTATATACAACCACGCACGGGCACGCACAGCGACCGATGACGCTAAACCTAAGGGGTCAAGGCTAAACCTAAGAGGGTAACTCATTGTCCCTCTCCGATATGGTGTAGTGGCTAACATCGCCGTCTCTCACACGGCAGCCGGGGGTTCGATTCCCCCTATCGGAGTTTTCTTTTTTTGCCGCATTCATTGCAAATGAAAATGTACCCAATGATTCGGTTAGCCCTAGAGGGCGGGGACCTTGGAAATAGCGGCCGACCTTGGAGGAGTCATCACCTGACCTCATCATATCTGATCAGGATCTTTTTTTGTCATTTTAAAAAAATTTCAAGACACATAACATAGTGTTAAGATATCTCAATTGCAATACAGTACACCAATCGCACAGAGGCTCAAAGGAAGACGACATTGAGGTATTCCATCATTACCATCCAAACCAAACTTGCCCACTCCATCAGCAACTGTCTTTCCCTCCACCCAGACCGCGGGGTACTATCAGTCTTCCCAAAAAAAGAATCGCAAATCAACCTCAGAATCAACAACCATATAAACCTAGCCCTCCAAAATGGCGACAATTTTAACAGCTCAACCGGCCACAGATGCTGCCTCTTACCTTGACCTCGCCATCACCCTCACAATCAACAACTGGCCGGCCCTCTCACTAGCCGTGCAGTCAAACTGGGGCGGTCCCAACTCAAGCGAGAAGCGGGACTGGCTTTGCGGCGCTATCTCCGATATGCTGGCTGACCGACCCGAGACCGACGCCGAGGACCTGGAGGAAGTGCTCATTCAGGTGATGAGTGACGAATTTGAAGTGGCGGTGGACGACGAGAGCGCTGCGGACGTTGCGGACATGATCATGGAGCTGAAGGCGCAGACGGATCGCGGCGAGTTCGGCACTATCCAACAGATGTTGGAGAAATTCCAGAAGAAAAGCCAAAATCGCTCTGCTGCGGCCCAGTTCCAGAAGGTTGAGGTTGCGGATGAGGATCAGGAGACGGATGGTGAGAGTGAAGAAGGGGATGTTGAGATGGGTGAAGCGCCTAGGTTGGTGCGGGCTCCAAGAGAGAGGGCTGAGCCCGAGATTGATGATGACGGGTTTACAAAGGTTGTTGGAAAGAAAAGGTAGATGTGGACTTTCGTCGAATATGTTTGTTTTATTTCCGTTTAGCCTTGGTGACAATAGGACCCCTACGATAGGTATCCTTTTCTAGTTACATAGTTGCATTTTCACCAACGATTGATCTTTTATCAGATCTGGCTTGCGTGGGCTAGCCCCTATGTGGTTGGAGATAACCTAAGAATTCATAGACGGTTCAACCGCTTGGATTCATAGATGGAGCAAAGTCTATGGAAGAAAGAATGTGGAAAAAGAGACGTTTCATCATCGTCAGTTGTGGACTGTCTGTGGTATCATTACGCGACCTCTGTCCACCCCCACCGCCCTGTTCAGAGTTTTTCGCAAGCATATCTTTGGCGTTGGAGTCACTTTTCAATAGCGGTTTATCGCACTTTTGAGAGGGTGAACATTCAGGTAGCCTTGGTGGCCAAAGCACTTCACTGGGCCTCGGTCTCGGAAGTGATGAGCTTGGTAATCATACCAATGGCAATGGTTTGACCCTACAATCCTCTTGTTAGCCATGAGAGAAAAATAAATGGGAAGAGGGTGAAAAAAACATACCTGGTCACGCAGGGTGAAACGACCTAATTGGTTGTACTCTTCGTAAGTCTCGACACAGACCGCACCAGCGGTGCTAGTAACCTCGAGACGGGCAATAATGGTCTGGCCCTTACTGGCGAACTGGGGAGGGCGCTTGCTCTTGCGGCCGGTGCCGGGCTCGAGCTTGTGAAGAAGAGCGGCGAAAGTAACTTCCTCAACAGCGGAGTGGACGTGCAGGACACAGTTGAAACCGGCTGTCAGAATGTTCTTCAGATCCAAGATACGAATCTTAGCCTCGAAAGCAGATACACAGTGAACGGGGCGCTTAGGCGAGCAGAGCACGAAACCAGGGAAGAAGTCTTCTTCCTCAATGCCACGGATACGCAGGCGAACTTGGTCACCAACCTTGGCGGTCGAAATCTCTTCTTCTGTTTCACCGTACATAGCAGAGATTTGAATCTCCTCGCGGTTAGGCATCATGAGATAGGTACCACTCTTCTTAATGATACCGGACTCAATGCGACCCTCTGCCATGGTACCCATGTCACGGTACTTGGCACTGATCGGCATCATGAACGGCGCGTTGACCTTACGCTCGGGGAGCTCGAATGCAGTCAGGAATTCGAGCAGCGACGGACCGTCGTACCAATCGCACAATTCTTTGGGGACTCGGTCTTTGATACCGATGGTACGCTGGGCAGAGATAGGCATGCAGAAAATGTCCGACTTCTTATACCCCAGGGCTTCCAAGAATTTGATGACTTTGACGGTGCATTCTTCGAAACGGGCCTTGTCCCACTCGACAGTAGGGTCATCCATCTTATTCACCGCTATGATAAGTTTGGAAACGCCAGTGTTTCTTGCAAGTAACGCGTGTTCGCGGGTCTGGCCACCCTTCTCGAATCCAGTCTCGTACTCACCCTTACGGGCAGAGATCACCAAACAACCGAGATCAGCCTGAGACGCACCACCAATCATATGAGGAACATAGGACTTGTGACCAGGCGCATCCAAGATCGAGAATTGACGCTCGATATCACCCTCCGGGTGCGGGATGGTGACCTTGAAGAAAGCACGGCCAACCTCGACTGTCTTACCCTTGGAGCGTTCCTCCTGGGTCAGATCAAGAGCCCACGAGAGGTACCAGGTCTCTCGACCAGCTTCCTTGGCCTCCTTCTTGTATTTGTCCAGTGTACGCTCGTCGACCATGCCGGTGGCATGCAAGAGAGAACCTCCCAGGGTGGACTTGCCAGCGTCGACGTGGCCGATGAAGACAACGTTAACGTGCTCTCTGCGCTCACCGTAGATTTCCTTTAGAGTTGCGTCATCAACATCAGCTAGCTGAGACTTTGCGACGGCATTGGCATCGCGAGCTTGCTTGGCCATCTCACCGCGGGCTGGGCTAGAGCGGTCAGATGATGGCGTGGGAGAAGATTTGCCAGCGACAGCGGCCTTATCTGTCTTGTCAAGGCCCTTGGTGGCCGCCACCTTTGAGCCTGCCTCAGCAGCTGCGGCGCCCTTGGTATCACCATTGGCCTCCTTGGGGGTAGTGTCAACAGGCTTGGCTGCCGGCGTAGGAGTGCCGATCGAAAGGACCTTGGTCTTGGGGGCAGCGCTGGAGGAGGGGGCACCGATGGACAGAACCTTGGCCTTGGGCGCAGCATTTGATGCAGTCTTGGGAGCAGACTGAGCCGGTGCTGCAGCCTGGGGTTGCTGCTGTGCTGCTACAGGCGCATTATGGCGAGGCTGCTGGGTATAACCACCGTATTGCTGCTGTTGCTGTCCATTGTTGTACTGGTTGAAGCCACCAGGCTGTTGGGCATAGGCGTTGTACTGGCCGTAGGCTTGATGCTGCTGGTAGCCACCGTAGGCCTGTTGTTGGCCGTACTGAGAATATCCCTGCTGGGGGTAACCAGCATACTGTTGGTACTGTTGTCCGGGGACGAAGGAAGAGGCTCCAGGTGTGAAAGAGGCGGCGCCAGGTTGGAATGAGGGTGCTTGGGCCTGAGGGCGAGATTGTGCGTTCAGATTAACGCCCTCAGCCTGGCGGGAGAGCTCATCCTCCCAGGATTCAGGTGTTTGGTTTGACATCGTGAAATAAGATTCAAGGTCAAATTATCACGAAAATGCTAAACCAAGACGGATTTGGACAAGTATAGGTTGGGTCAATAAGAGGGGGCCCCAGTGCCTTTTGATTTTGCACAGGTGTATGACTAAGACCCCGCGATTATTTTTTTTCACGTGATATTATACTGAATGGGTTTCTTCCATTGTGCGTGACAAGAAGGAGTTCTAGGAAACTAATCTGTTTGCTTATGCTTCTGGCTTTTTCAATCGTCTAACCTTACTGCACTATCTCTTTTCAAATATTAAAGGCACAAGTGTCTGGGAGTTGGGCTGACCGTTGAGCTTTCATTCTCTTATCGATAAGCACCCCTCCATGCAGTTTGTTGCTCAGGGGCCTTTTATATCGCCTGTCAATAAGATTTGCCCAAGAAATTTTAAAGGCCGTTGGCCTTTAAAGTGAACCAAAATGGATACTTTTCTAACTGGGGTTTGTATTGTATATCATTGGTCAAGGACTAGCAGCTAATTCGTGGATTGCACACAGCTCACCCGGCAGGCTATGAATTATGCCATTCGGTATGCTTCAAAATAATTGAGGAACGACACCCTTCAATGCTAACAGCTGTTATTCAGCTCGGGGATTGCAATAACTGCCAGTTATGCAATGCGCCAGTCATCGCGCTTGCTCAGAGTAAGTATTCTTTTCGGCTGCGGAAAGAAGTCAGTGCTGATTAGTTCCCCCAGAATGTCAAGAGCGAGGACCGAGATGAGCTGATCTCCTTGCAACAACGCCTGGAGAGCAAGATACAAGTTATCGCCCCCGCTATTGACATGATTGAGTTGATGTAAATCACCCGATAGTGAGTGGGATTGTCAGAAAGCTAACAATTGGTCTAGCGCTGCTCGAGGAAACACGTCCTTGGAATCTGCTGTCGACCTCACGAAGTCTCTGAGATGGGAAATTCAAGCCCTGGGACAGCGGCTGGGAAAAGCCGCAGCATCTGAAGAACTGAGACGCAAAGGAGCAAGATCGTCCAAAGATCAGACGAACGGCGAGAAAGAAATCAAGCTTATTATCAAAGATATCAAGAAGCTTTTGGCTCGGATTGAAGACGCAGTGCCACTGATGAACCTGGCCATCACCACCTCAGGGGCCAAGTTATCCACTAACTTGCCCGCGACGGTATCACCATCCCGGCTCCTCCAAGCAAGCACGTTTCTCACGGCAGGTGATACACAATATTCAATGTCCCCATCTCAGGCAGTGCAAGTAGGGCCGACGTTTACTTTATCGATGTACATGCTATTTGCCAGCCACCTGCGACCCCAGGATGAGGAATCTGTCCGCGAGGCTACATGGAAGGAGGTCATGCATAAGGCACGTTTGAAGCTACGTCGCGTTCCCATAGCCTCATTGCAGGATCCAGACGAACGCCTACGAAAGAATCTTCCAGGACCAGCTGGGTCCGATGAATACGCTTATCAAGTCCTGATCATTGAAGACTTGGATGATAGCCGACTCCATACAATCGACGAGAATGATCCGCAGCCCCAAAACTATGAAGGCGTTTCCACGGCAGGGATAAGGGAGATTCTTCCTATTCATCAAATTTCAAAAATTTTTTACGCAGACACCGGGAGGATCCTCAACATCAGCACAGAGGGCGAAACAAACAATCCGGTGCTGCTGTTGAAACGGGACTTGAATGCTCTCCCGCCACGACGCATGATGGAACGCGACGAGGTAGAGGAGGACTTCCCTCAAACAGAACCTGAGGAGGAACCAGAGGACGAGGAGCAAGCTCAACTCGACGCACAGCTGAAAGGAGGCGAAAATCCAGATAAAAACAGCTTCAATTATCTGCATGAAGACTCCATACCCGAAGAATGGCGTCTGCCTCCTGGACTGGACCCAGAATGGATTGCATTTGAAGTCTACAACGAAGATGAAACCTCCGATAGCGAGTCCGAAGCCGAAAACCCCGACTCATCCACTGACGAACCCTCAATCGACCCAAATATTATGGCCAGGCTGTCACTGAATGAGAAGAGTCTTTCATCACACTCCCCGTCTCCATCAAATCTGTCATTCTCATCTGCCACTGCCACAAGAACAGTCTTCAACCCTCACTTTGAGAATATCCGCACCTCCCTTTCCCTCCTCGAAACTCTCCTCCGCCTAACATCCCTCCAGCAATTCCAGCAACAATCTCACCTCTCCATCAGCGATGAGCTCCTCAACTTCTTCCTGGAAGAATCCTCCACCACTGGCGCTGGTGGTGACGAACAGCACCGCCAGCGGCTGCGCTCCGAGGCCCGTCGTCGCGTTGGCTGGGACCCCTACAATGAAAGCCCGGTCAAACACCGCGGTGAGGACTACCAGTACGGCTGGGAGTCCGGTACCGATCCCCACCAATATGCTGGCGATCCTTACTCGCCTAGTGGCCGGTCGCAGGGCTTCCATCTTCGTTCCAGGGAGAGCACACCGGAGACCCCGGTGCGCAAAAGCTCGTCGAATTTCCGTCCAAGTAGTCACCGTGGTGTGAGGCCTGTGTAGGCTGAGTCGCTCCTTTCAAAAAGATATGGGTAGGTCTCTAAACGATGGAGATATAGGCTCTGGCACTACAGATTGGATGGGAAATGAATGGGAAATCCATAGACTATGATGCTTGTACATGTATTATGATCATGATTATGAGATAGCAAGCGCATTGCAAGGTTGATATTTTTTATCATGCCCTTGGGACGAATTCTCCGTTGGATGTTAGATTGTTCTGGCGAAAGCCAACATCTGTAGCGGCCATTAAATATCGGCTACTAGTATACGTGAGAGCTTAGATGGTCAGAGCCCCAAAGTAAGATGCTATGTAGATAAAAGGAATGACTATTCAGATATCAACCACATAGACAGATAAAATCGCTCACTGAAAGCAAGTTGCAGGAAACGAAGCCGGGAATTAAAGGAGAGGGAGAAAAAAAAGCCTGAAACGCCAAAGACAAGAGACCCAATATTCCTAAACTCCAACCAAAGCAGATTTCCAGGAGGCAACTGACCGTGTTTAAGCTGGCGCACGCAGTAGTGTAAGACCACAATCTCGGGGGTATATGGTATAGACAAGCGCCCTCGTAACCAACTAAGATCCTCTTGCCGATGTGTCCTTGTAATGGAATAAGGAATTACTCCCAATCTTCGTCGCTCTCATCCGCCTTCGCAGCGGAGGAGACCTTTTCCTTGGGACTACCAGGTGTGCGGCTAGCAGTGCCGCTCACAACATCGTAGCTAGATTCGCTGTCGGCTTGGGAATGCTGGTCGTGTGAACGGCGAGGCTCGGCTTTCTCTGTTTCTTTGGTGGGAGCGAGGGTCTGAGCACCGGAGCGGACCTGTGGAGTAGAGGGAGACTGAGACTCAGAGTCAGAGTCGTCATCCCAGCCGACTTCTTCTTCGTCCTCAGCGGAGGCACCTATAGAGTAGAAGTGGTTAGAGCTGAAAATCAAAGATCACCAGATTGATGGACTCAACATACCCTTCAAAAGCTCCTTGCGCTTCTTCTCCTCGGTCTCCACGACGAGACGCAGGAAGTAGTAACGAGTCCAGAAGTCGACGTATTCAACCTGCTCCGGCACGAGCTTTTCCATGGCCGAACGGAGCTCGGGGTACTTCTCCAAATCGGCGGCGATCTCACCCGTCTTGGTCTCAACATTGAACTCCTTTTTGAAAGAAGGCCACTCATCACTGACCGGGTCCTTGGTGAAGCTTTCCAAGTTTGAATGAATAACATGCAGTTGTGCCTCGAACCGTGTGGCATGAATGACCCGCTTTCCCTCGGCATCCTTGCTCTCGAAAAGAAGCTTGCCGGACTCGTCGGTATCCGGGGGCAAAATGCTAACGGCCTCACGCAGCTTCTGGCTGATATTCATTCCGAATCGCAGGATCGCTTCATCAGCTGCTTCCTCTGCCTTCTCGATCTCCTTCAGCCGCCGAGCGGCTTCCGCCTTCAACCGGGTAATAAAGCTTTCTCCTCCACTGGCGCCAGCGCCTCCGAGTTCCCTCTTGTCGCTAAGTTGTCCTACTTCTGCGGCAGCCTTAGGTGTGACAGTCTCGTCAATTTGTCTCTCGCCACTGCTTGTCAAAGCAGCAGTGCTGAGAGACAGCCCCTTTGTCCGGTCGGCGAGTGTGTCCCTCAGATCTGAAAATCCTTTCACAGCTTCCTCACTAGCAGCTGCATACTCCTGGCGAGCACCCTCGTAGTATGATTCTCCCTGCTTGCGTACATTGTTCCATAGTCCTCCGATTCGGGAGCCCCAGGGACTGGCTGAGAATGCGCGGAAGGTCTCTTGTAGCTCATCGTTGAGGTTGGCGCTGGACTCCTGCGGATTGGAGTCGGAAGGGGCTCCCTCCTTGTTGGAAAAAGCCTCCTCCTGGATGTGATCGTAAGCGATATCCATGATTGGGAAGTTGCAAAAGGGAAAAGAGGGTCAAAGACTTGGACGCACAAGGTTGCAGTACCTCCGCGTTCGTCCACGGCCCGACCGCCCCGCTTGCGACGATCTTCAAACCCACCTATATCATATATACACATTGGTCATCTATTCAAGGTGATAACTATATTCATAGTAACCTCCATTTAATAGTGTTTTGTCATTTCTTGTATGTTCATAAATCATGGTGTCTCTTGAATAATGACGTCCAAAACAATGTCATGCTTCAGGTAAGCTATAAGGCTCTCCTACACTATCCTGACTCCCGTTCCAAAAATTCGGAAGCGGAACGCTCTCCATGACGCTCGATGTAAGAAGCTGGCTCCGAGAGAGGACCCGACCCTTCCATTGAGGATCTCGATCTACCGCCTGCGAGGACTCAACTTGTACCACTGAGCCAGGAACTCGAGGTCGCTGGAACGAACCGTCGCCCGACTCTATTCCACATACTCGTTCCTGGATGGGCGATGACTCGGGGACCATTTCAGTAGACTCTTTGTCGCCTTCCTGGCTCTTTGTCTGGGTTTGCGAGAATGGCCCCCGTACTTGTTTTTGAAAGTAAGGCCTCCAGGCACCCAAATTTGTGTACTGGCTACTGCCTTCGTGGGGGAAAAGCTCAGACATCTTCTGCGTATTCAGCGTTGGTATTGGCTCGTGCGGGAATTGTGTAGCTGCGTGCATTCGTTGGTAGCAAATTGAGGCATCAGACATTGGACCTTCGGATGGAGGTGCATCATCTAATCCAGGGCTCGATTGCACAGCTGGCAGAGGAAGTTCTTGGGAATCATCCTTGGGTGACTCTGGGCTGTGTTGGGTCACCTGTGAGCTGTCCGGCGGACCAAATGCTCGACGGTTTTTCTTTAGAGATGGCGTCACGGAACGTCTATCAAGGTTGTCCTCGGAGTCTCCGTATTCTGAGTCCGCATCCGTTTCGTAGACGACTGTCCTCTCCCTCTTGGTGGTTTCATTTCTCGAGTTCCCATTTGCTTCGATGGGGAGCTTCTGGGAAATTGACTCTGTTGCAGGTGCAGATGAGGTGAATTCCTCAGTAGTGGTTAGATCGGAATGGATCAAATTTTTATAGCTGCTTAGAGAATCGAGTGTTGTTGGTCGTGGTAAGGATTCACCTCCAGGGACTTGTGAATTTTCGGCCACTCGCCGAGCTTCCAGGAATTCTTCTTTAATCGGTTGCAAGGGGTGATCCGTGAGGTTTAACAGTTTCCATTTTGAAGGAGAGCGAGTAGCACTGCGAAATTGAGACGAGGTTATGATGGCGAGGCCAGGGCTTTCGGGTGTCTGTGAAGAAGGAATCTCGCGCGTCCCATACTTCCGCGGTGTAACAGGGATTGTAGATGCATGCTCTCCTTCAACTCGACTTCCGGTATTTGATTCTTGCGCTTCTTTTGGTTGAGATATAGGTTCCCCGGTTGAGAGATCCAGCTCTTCTTCAAAAGCTCTGCGCTTTCGTTTGGCAGGAGTCGCACGCTTCATAGGCTGTGGTTGGTTCACTTTGCGCGCATGTTCTGTCTTTTCATATTGTATGTTTTTCTTCTGCGGTATCGGTTGGATATATCCCATGTTCACGTCGTCGTCATCATCATCGATGGTAATGTAACGTCGTACAAAGTCCATCTGAGTTAAAGTCTTATCCCGCTTTCCAACTGACTTCTCCAAAAATTTTCGACCGCCCTTAAGACGAACACTTGCTCTCGGTGTCTCGCTCTTTCGTGCTCCGTGACTTCGGTTTGCATCTTGACTGACGATTCCAGAGCTCCTCCGCTTCTGCGGGCGTTGATTCGAATCGCGCTCTCGTTCACTCATCTTGAATTTCGAGACACATTCTGACCGAACTGGTGGGACGGGTAGATAATCTGAATCTTTGTCAGACCCGTCATCTACATTTGGCCGCTGATGTGTTTCTTGGGTATCGTCGTGACGCTTGTGTTCGTCAATGTAGCCAAGCTGGTCATCATTCGAAGGTGTGGGCTGTGTCACGAAATCAATTTGCGTGAGAGTGGATTGAACTCGTGGCAACGATGTTCGCTTACGAGTGCTTGCTGATGTCGATAACTGTGGTGATCGGTTCCGTGCGCTGATGGTTTTCGTGGCAGTTGATAGAAGATCTGGTGGACTAGACCTTCTCGGGTTGCGGGGCTGATTTCGAGGGGTCTCTGGCAGCTTTCGAGACTCGTGCGGTTCTTTCATCGCAATGACGATGGTTCAAGGCTTGAAGCATCGGACAGGGGCCTACTGATTAAAGGTATGACGTTAGGGGAGAGATGCCTCAGGCCGTTCGCGTCGACGCGTCGCTAATATCGACGTGGTCCGTGCGTTGTGGTTTCGACCTCCATTCACAACAGTCCAAAGATGACAAAACAAACAGCATCATGTATTTTTTTTTCCACTCTGGACTGAGTAGAAAAGTAAAAAGAAAACGGGAAAAAAAAGAAATCTCAGGTTTGGTTTTAGGAATAGCCGAACGCGGGGGTCGAACCCGCAGCCTTAAGATTAAGAGTCTTACGCTCTACCGATTGAGCTAGCCCGGCTGGGCTGTTGGAAGTTGTTCCACTTAATGCCGAATAATCCAATGAAGATTGTCTTCCCTGCAGCTCACACGAGAGCGACATTACATTCCTGTGGTTCACCTCCAAAATCTCAGTTAATGCAAATTATAACTTCATATGGCAAAACGATAGTCTATATGGAGTTATGCTAAGCGTTCAACTCCATATGTGATATCCAGCCTCCCCAGGGAGTTAACACGCTGTTTACGACAATGTGGAATTAGTTGTATATTTCTGGCTTGACACTATGTAATTCCCAACCCGACGGTGATGTAGCCTTTCGATTTCCCTGAAATTGACATGAGGCTTCCAGAATACCTGTCAGTAGCCATCGACTGACAACTTAAACCAAAGGACAGCGTGTCTGTTAACACCTGGAGATATAAGGTTATAAAATATAGTCCTACCACGTGTTTCAAGATGGACCGCTCGCCTGTGGAAAATGGACAATTTTCTTTTCACCTTGCATCTACATACAGGTAACATATAATGGTCTGGTTGTCAAAAATTAGTCCTCATCAGACATCAGCCACTCGGGAATAGCATCCTCATCTTCAGGGTCCTCAGAAAGCAAAGATCCCTTCTCGATCTCGCTGTCAGAATTAGAACTGGGCACTGGTGACGGTGGCCGGGAGACATTAACCACACTTGCTGATTTGGATCCACCATATGTCGATAGATCTATGGCGGTAGGAGCCTTGTCGGATGATCCTGCGAGAACCTGGGGTACGGATATCGAGTTTGAGCTGTGGTTTGGTACAACTACCAGTGAGTAGCGAGGCGTTTTTGATGCTTTGTTCCTGGCAATACTCTTGGGAATCGATGCCCGGGTTATGGTCAATGGCGCAGGCCTTTGAGGTTCCACCGGGTCTGGGGCTAGAGGATTATCGGGCAGGAACCCCCCTCCAAGAGTATGAACCTCTTGGAAGGGCGGTTCTATTTCATTTTCCACGTATTCGTCGGGAAAATGCTGATCATGCACCACTCTCCCCTTTCCAAGAGCTTCCAGAAACGGGCCAACAGCTGGTTGGTCTGGTTCAGGGAAGAAACCACCACCAGCATCTTCAACATCCATTTCATCCTCGATGTCCTCGACCTGTTCTTCGTCATCGCCAGCATATTCCTTGACCCTCTCTGCAATCCTAAGCTTTATCAAAAACAGCCGCCAGAACCTCAGAGCCTCCGCAGCTCTTGCTTCCAGTGCAGCATGCCGCCTCTCATCCTCGAGACCCCTCATAACTTCCTCAAGCGCCTCTTGGTACTCAATAGCAATAACAACCCCCCCGAGTATAGCCGTGCCTCGACGGCCTCTAAATTCAAACCCAGTGACTGCGTCGGCATAGTCAATGCCAAGGATTCGAGCTGCTCGAACTGCCTCCGGCCGCTTGATGTGAACTCCGCCAGGCGGAACCATGCTGGGCACATAGACATCGAGATTTCCATATGTGTTCTTCGGGATTCTTCCCTGAACCACCGGTGGTGGAACGTAGATTTCTGTCTGGAACTCGGCGTATAGTGTAGTCTCCTGGGGCTCATTTTCATCTTCATCATCACTCAAGCCCCCGCCCTTGTTTCGACTTGCAGAAACACGCTTAAGAGGCTGCTCGCCAACTCTAACATCCCGCCCAAGGCGATACCATTTATCGGAGCTTCGCACAATATGCAGGTCAGATCGACGATAAACGGGTTCTGATGTCTCACTCCGTGCTGTGCTTTTCCCCAACCCCACGTGTCCAATGATTCGCTTGGGGTAAATCACTTCATTGCGACGGACATGACGCTCAAGCGCATAGACAGGATGGTCCTTAAAGTCCTGGATATTGCGTGGCATGGGCTCAGCTGCTGATTTGGATGTTAATTCACTAATTTCTGCCTCATCACGATCCTCGAAGAAGGGTTTTTCATAGGCCTTTAGAGCCCTATCCCACCATTCCTCGCCATTCCGTGTGGACTCCACGCGCAGTTTCCGCGTCTTTGCATTAAAGGCTTTAACATAGCGACGAGTGAGGTCTCTCGCGGATGCGTCATCCTCGAATCCAACCACATAGTTCATCACATTTAAAGAGTCACTCGCAGGCGGTTCAAATTTCGAAGGTTTTGCAAGGGATTTTGTTACGATAGGGTCAATTGAAACCCATTTATGTGCAGCTTCGTTGAACGCTTCCACCCAAAACACTGGAAATGATGAGTCTCGCAATATCGGAACCGGGCCTATGGATGTTAGTTAAGCGTACACTAACAATCACTAAATGTCACATACCCGAGTGGAATTTTGGTTGAGGGGGGCGAGAGGGGGCGAATTTAGGCTGTCCAATCCGTCGAGGCCTTGGAGCTGCAGGTGATTTTTCGCTCTTGCTGCGTTCATCTGTTGAGGATCCAGGATCGTCTGAGGATATCACAATATGTTGATGCTTTGGTTTAGACGGCGTTATGTCTTTCACAGTGCCAGACAATGGCAGCGGTTGTAATGAGCAAACAAGTCTCGCCTCTACGGCTACAGACCGTAAAAGGGCACAGAATAGCTGAGCCCCGAAGTCCCGGGAACCTTGCATTGTCTTAGCTTGGGTACGGAAATCCCCTTTGGACAAAAAGACTTCGGCATTTGGCATGATTGACTCCTACACACCCGTGTCAGCGAATAATTATCGATAGAAAAAACAGCGAATAATACCAATTTCTGCTTTAATTGCGATTCATCTTCCGCCCAATGAGCCCGTTTCATTCCTGGTTTGGTGACCTGAAATCTGCGTGTGAAAGTATCTGCAGCCTGGTTGAGACCATCCATAAACGTGGTGGATCTGCTATAATGCGGTTTATCCTCATCTGGATGCAGAAGAGCGATTACTTTCCTAGAGAGTGTCTTCTTCAGGAATTCCTATGATATTGTTAAACCCCCAATCGATGTACCCAAGCAGGCCAATTCTCACCTGTAAACCCTCGTCATTGCACCACATGTTGCGTAACTGAACGTGGCCAAGGAGGCAAAGAAGATGACATTTATGCACATCAAGTCTAGCTTTTCTCTCAGCTCCATTTAAGGGCTTCCTTCTTTGGCCTGCTCTTTTGTGCTTCTCGGGTTCTTGCTCTAGTGTGATCTGGAGCATCTCATTGTCGCCTTCAGACGCCAAGCGTCTATTCAACAGGGACAGGGGCGGTTGCTGCAATTCAACATCTTCCCAGTCAACATCTGATTCTTCCGATGTCGATGAATCATAAACAGTTTGCACTGATTGGGTGCTATGTTTGTTTGCTTCTGTGTCCTGATCTGTTTGTTCCGAGGCCCCTAGCCCCACGGGGATAGCTTTCATATCTCCGGCCTTGCGTCTCTTAATTGGTCTGTTCAAAGCAAATTGCTCGGGATCTTTAGCTTCAGCCTCCTCCAACAGTTCTTGATAGACATCTGGAGTATGGTCATCTGTCTGTCTCTGGCGTTTAGGTTGACGGGAGGGCGTCGCCCGGCTCCTTGCGGAGTGAGGTGGTGTTTGTCGCACCATTTAAAACCAATGGTTTGAAATGTAGAGTCATGTAGCAAATTTCCAGGTTTTTGGTCCGATGATGTTCAACGCGTCGCGCGTCAGCACTCAAAGTGGCGTTCAGTACCCCGCCCTGCAATGAGACAAAACATCAAGGAATACAAAATGTAAAATGTTCAATGTTACTTCGAAACGATATTCTCAGAAGGAAAAAATGTCCTCGCTCAAGCCATGTTGATGCATTGCACTTCGGGTACTTTCAAATCACAAGGTGCGTCATATCGGACTTTGATTAATCCGTACCGACACCAATATAACCTGATTAGGAAGCAAGCTGTCTGCGTGTTGTCCTGTATCAACAGGTTTAAATCGTTTACTCGTTGATGCCTTGTTTTTCCAGATACTGACTGTGATTGTTTAACTTATTGATGCCTCACTTGGATTTAATGTAATATGAAAAAAATACGCGAACGCTAATGTACACACCCAATCGAGGATATTCTCTATCGTCCTCTTTCGACCGCGACTCGGCCAAAACATTTCCTTTCCTGATCAAAATAAGCTTAAGCACCGGAAAAAGACAAGCGAAGGATAGTACTATATCCAAAGAAGATGATGGTTTACCTTTGTATATAGTTGGACAGTGAGTCCTAATGGACCAAGGATATATCAAAACGGGAGCGCAACTGTACGAGCTTTCTGATAATAAGTTGTCTTCCAAAGTAGTACATGTCGAGCAGGTAAGATGTATATAGGAAATCCAGGACGCTAATCAAAAGCGACTCGTATAACTAAACTGTCATCTACCACACTGCGTCTAGCACACATCCCAGCCGTTCTTTGTTTCTCCCTCGCAGAGTTCCATGAGCTCCAAGGAGGGATACATTTTAGGCAATAAAACCCACACCAGGAGAGATAACTCGCCTGCCAATTGATCAGTTAGGTTGTCCCAAAGAGTTGACAAGGGCCCTTCTAGAGGGAGGTCTGCAACACAGAAAACTTTCTGAATGAGACCGGGCTAAAAAAAAGGTAGGTTAACAATGACAATGCTAGCGTCGACATTTTGACACTAACTCCTCATTGTTGAAGTGTTGAAGGGATGATTCCCCTCTCCAGACCTACTCTAGACGTGCATGATCTACATTTCGCTTGCATCTGTCAGTTGCGTGGTGCTCACACCTTTTTGTCCTGAGCCATGCCGATTGGTCGTGTGTTTTACCTCCACCCAGGCTCGGCCGTATCCGAATTTTAGCAAAGGCCTTGCAATTCCAATTCCAAAGATTTTTTAACTTTTGTTAAGCGATAGATCCATCTAAAATTTCCTCTCACTTCCAATGTACAACATACATTGTAAAGAGTTGGGAACGTGTTGAAGTTTTCGCCGAGGCTGTGAATTGAACTTTGTGGATCTCTAGCCGATCATTTCTGTGAATATTCACCCGCCCCTACATGCACAGTAGGGTTAATGGTTAATTTGTTGGACCTTGGCTATAAATTTAGAGGACATGACAAGGGGGGGGTTTTATTTCTTCTCTTTTTTTGCTCTTTTAGTTCCGTTTTTGTATTGCCGTGCGTCCCTAGTGCAATCCCTAAGCTGCTGGAAAGGTCGCCCCGTGAAGTGAGAATCCTTGCGGATAGACAGTTTTATCTTACCCCCGATAAAATCTAGTGGCATTCTTTGTGGGAAATAAGTATCAGTAAAAATTGCTCAAGTGGTCTACCCTTTCGCCAGTAGGTAGTAATTTTGTATACATGACACGTATTATCAATAACTACGTTTAGCGAAAGCCCCGAGACGATGGGCCGACATGCATGTTGTCAAGGAGAATAGGCTGCATGTCTTACTTTGCTCTGAAATACTTCCAATAGAGTTTCAATATTTTAGAACTAGATGAGTTGTCAACAATGGAGCCAGGCACGTACTTGTAGGCGCATGTAGCTGTTATGCTGCCTGTGGGAGCAAGGTGCAGCTAAGGGGTGATTCTCGCTGGACACATTTTCTTAGCACACCTGTCACTTGCTTTTCTGCTTCCTAGAGTTCAACACGGATTATCCAGCTGGAGTGTCCAATACACTGCTCTACAGACTAGGTACTAGATACATGCAGAGTAGCCCAGAAAATTGAGTAAAGCGAGTATATGTTCTCTCCTCTTGGACTCGGATCTGATAGGCCATCCTCTTTTTTAACGCAGTCTTGAAATCTTGTGCAGCATGTGTCTCGACTTGGGCGTATGTATTCGGAGTTGTTCGGTTGAGAATATTTAACAGACCCAGCAGTTTCCAATACCCTATCTATCTCTCCACATCAAAGAAAGCACGGTACATCCTCCGTACAAGTCCCACATGTAGTGGATACTCCTGGATACCAGTGACCAAAGCAAGGAACTCAAAAGAGATAAAACGCCAAGGGCTGTCTCCACTAGCGAGGTGCTCCGCTGCGGAATGACGACTTCGTAGTTCATTGATTATGGTTCGACGGACGCCAAACCACGCATCTACTGTGGCACTATTGTGTCACGAGACATCCCCAATTCAACGCCAAAAAACCGGGTCGATATACCTTGGTGATTAGGGAAGAAATGCCGACTGAAAAGCTCATTAAGGAAGGTTTGTACATAGCTCCCGTCTTGAAAATCGGCGCTGGGGCCGGCGTTACCGACACGTTGGAACCCGAACAACTTTCCCAGTCGTCGGGACCGGTGAATTTCAATTCCAACAAACTCCCGGGTTGTTCCTTTTGGATGGGAACCCGGCTCCATGGCAGGGATATTATTATTTTTGGGACGGCTGCAGGGATCCTACACTTGGGATTCTATCTGCAAGGTCACCGTGTTTTGTATTTTTCCCGTCTTTCTGTCGTATACAATAAAAACAATTAACCGCTTATTGACTCGTGGGTACTCCGAGTACAGAACATTGGTTCCATTTGAATCGTAAGTTTTTGTTAAAGTTCACCTGGGCACTTTAGTCATTTCCATCTAGAGCATATGTCACACGTTATAATCACACCTTTGTCTGATCGATATTCGCACGAGAGCAATGAAGGAAGATTCCTAGGACCAGAAATTCGGGATAGAAACTTCAACAAGTACTCTTAAGCCTATACTCCCTGTACGGACATTAGAAAATAAAACCAAATCTTTTTTCTAGAAATTAGTTGACCCGGAGTGACGGAGACTAGTGTGCATGTTCCGTGATGCACTTCTAGATCCCACGTGCCCCTCCTTTTGGAGCAGTTTGGGGAAAAAGAAAGCCCAGGCTTTAAGCGCCCCGACGCTTTGTTTCTGATGGGTCACTTTCTTCCCACCGCCAGACCTAAATACGGTAGGGGTCCGAGTTGCCACAAGAAGAAAAAGAATAACAGAGGAAACTTTCGTTTCTAGACACGTAAATCTTCTAGAATCATTCCGACACACTTTGATCTTCCCGACCTCGGGAGTCCGTGCAACGACTAATAAGCCTTGGCGTAAATTGAGAAATGTACGGGTGATTGTTATTGAAGGAATTTCCTGTCGAGGAAAATCCCAACCACTCCACATCTCTATGGGGCCGAGAGTGCCCCAGTCTAGAACCCATTAATATCACAACTTTCCGTTAGGTTTTGTGGATTTTGATTCGAAGTCAATATTCAATGTGTTCATCTACGAAAAGAATAATCGCCTCGGGGCATGACGGCGTTCCAATCTCACTATCTCTAGGGGAGCCCTGCAAGATTCCGCATAGGTGTCCTTGGAACTCATTTCTGATCGGCCGAATCTAAATGGCAAATCCCAGCAGAAAGGTTGAAGGCGGCCCGTGGCTGGGCGGGTTGCATGTTCCCAGCTAGATGGAATCGACCTCCATTGGTTCATCGAGCCCAACCAGCCAGGAGCCTTCGATCGCGAGGATCGAGATTCATGCCCTGGATAAATGCCAGACTAAATTTTGAAATGGATACATAATATGTACCATCCAGGGTCCCACGTCAGGGAACAGGAGGATCACTGGGAGATCACCGGAAAATGAGTCCTCGGTTTTCACCACACCAACATTCCGATTTTGAATGTAGTGAGTCTGCCGATTAAGATTGAATTTAAGATTTTTGTACGTAGTCTTTGAGGAGAAAAAAAAGGAGAGAGAAGAGAAACGACAATATGTTACTGGTAATAAAAAGAATTGAAGTAAGAAACCGTCAAAGTACACATTAATTCCGTCCAATCAATTTCAATAAAAACCCAAGAAACTTTTTCCCCAGCAAAAACAGGGACACTACGGAGTACATGGGCAAGTCCTATTTCGGGTTATTTTTTTTTTTAAAAAAAAATTCACGCCTGAAGCGCCTGGGCATATTGGTGCTCTTTAATGTGCTTTTTTACTCTACTTTACCAATTTACCCAGCTTTTTTACACGGAATCGAGCTCCACTTACCGGTGTTTGCTTTTGCTTTTGCTCTTTGCCTTTCAAACATTTCAAATGTCGATCCTACACGCTGAATTATAGTTGTCGGGATTGTCCTCCCGCCCTGCCAGATTATACCTTAACCCAAGTAGTCGGGCTCTTCTTTCCCCCATCCTTCTCTTTCAAAAATGTCTGGATTCGTGTCCGTCTGACTCTTTCTTTGGTATTCATTGTGGGACGTGGATTGGGGCATCGCGAGATCAATTCCTGATTCTAACTCATGAAGAAATAGCCCACTTACCGTCCATTTCGCAGAGCACCTAGATACCTGCTACTATTGAATTCGCTGGATAAGAATAAGATGACCATGGGTACTAGACGCCTGGTAAGTTTGTTTTCTGTGTCAATATTGATATTCTGGTGACTATTTGACTATAAATTTCTTGCTAACGCTGAAACATACAGGCACTTCATGCTGACTGGTAATACTACCTCCATTGGCCCCTCCTCACCTCTTAATTCTTTACCAAACCAATGACTGGCGTGACTGACTATACAACAACAGTGACACACAGTCGTTGACTGCCAGTGTAACAGATTATCCTGTCGAGAATGGAAGAACGTATCATAGGTACCACGAGGGAGGTAGGCATACAATTCCGGCTCTGTCGGATCTCGCACAGCATTTGCTAATTTCAATATTTAGCTTATGTGTATCCCAATGATGAACAGGAAATAGATCGCCTAGACATGCAACATCACATGTTTAAAATGGCAATGGACGGAAAGCTATTCCAGGTTCCCCTCCAAGACCCAAAGCATATTCTTGACATTGGCACTGGCTCGGGAATATGGCCAATAGAAATGGGTATGATCACCCGTCCCAGCTCTGAGGTCCTTGTCTCACCATCTTCAATTGTCTCCATGCAGCGGCGTTGTTTCCAAACACCGAAATTATAGGGACAGATCTATCCCCAGTGCAGCCAACAGAAGTTCCTCCAAATGTCCATTTTTTAATTGATGATGCCACTGTAGAAGAGTGGCTATGGAACAAGAACTATTTTGATTTCATTCATACCGGGCACATGACTGGGGCTATGCCGTCATTCAAACGTGTACTACGGCAGGCATTCAAACATCTCATACCGGGAGCCTACATGGAATGTCACGAGCTTGACCCAAAGCCGAAATGCGACGATGGAACTATGCCCCCTGAAAACCCTGACGGAGGATACAGCGCATACGCCATGCATGATTGGGTAGATCTTAATGTACGCTCGAGTCGTGATTCAGACCCACCAAGACAATTCAGAATCGCCCACCGGATTGCACAATGGATGGAAGAAATAGGATTCATTGACATTGAACAACGACTCTCCAAAATCCCCATAAATACCTGGCCCGAGGATGAGAAGCTGAGGACAATCGGTGCTTGGAGTGAGAACAATTGGCTTGATGCTTTGTCCGGGTGGTCATATAAGCCCTTTCTTGCCCTCGGCTGGTCAAAACCCGAAATCGAGGTCTTCCTCGTCGATGTGAGGAAGAGTATACAGGATCGGAGTGTCCATGCTTATATGGACTTTTATGTGGTGACAGGGCGGAAACCCCTTCCAAGTGAAAGTAAACCTGCTCCATAAGTTCTCATCTCCCCGCTTTCTCGTCATGATTGTCTTGCGTTTTATCACACCGTTCCATAATGTCATCTCTGAGATGATTAGCATGTGCTACCATTGGTAGGCAAAAGTTTACATGCATTGCATTGGCGTTGTGTACGTGATTTCTATTTCTTTCTTTTTATCCTCTACATCAACAAATTATTAATACCTACACATATAGTTAGTTATGCGAACGTTTGGTATATAACGTGCCTGGCGTGGCTTCGAACAACAAAACGAATCATCATATGACATAAAGCGTGAAACATAGAAATAAATTAAATGAACCAAAAAAGTACCACAACCCAAATTTAATACATACAAACACAGAGGTGACAATGGAAGTCCAAATACTGGCCTGTTGACTCGCCGTGGAGCCTGGAGCGATGGAGAAATTAGTCATCGCGCCAAGAATCGGAAAGCGAAAGTTGATTCCGAGCACTTGCGCCACGCCTAAGACAGCAATCGGCCTGCACATGCCATAGCCAATCCCATGTCTTTCGGCAGACATGCCTATCGGCATGCTCTAAAGCCACCAGCTACTGCGACACTTGACCATCCCTGGATCAGCGATGACCTACTCGCAGCCACGTTTCGTCACTTTGCCAACGGTCAACGGCGCCATGGGAGCTGTGTTCCCGGACCACTGGAAGCACGACGGCGCCTAGCAAAGCGAAGAAATACTGTCCTAGCAAGCATAGGGGGAGGTCCGGCTGAAGATATCGCGTGTCTGTTTGGCCGCAATGGGAGGGAACACATAAAATGGTCCGACCATCCGTGGCAGAGAGCGCCATTCGAAACCCAGAGTATGTGTGACAAGGCACGCCAAATCTTTCGAGAATCTGCTAATTGTTCTTCGAAGGCTTCGCTGATCATTCTTTGTGTCCTCCTGAAGTAGGGTTTTCTTTCTACAACCAGAACCCGGAGGCTGGACCCGAACACAGTGAAGTTCATACTACTCATGCTCCTCCTTCCTTCCTCTCCAAGGCGAACCAAGTCACACGTGAGAAAATTCTAGAGGAGTTCTTGGATGGAAACAATTGGGGTATTGAAGATGCAAGGGACTTCACTCGTCGGTTGAGAATTGACCTCCACCGGGAACCGCGATACAGCCGGCAGATATTCGAGCGGTTACTTGCTCGTTCAGACCCAGATCTCATAGAAGCAATTGCGTTCTTGGACGACCCATTCCTGAATACCCGGGGATCGGGAAATTACGCTGCTGCTGTCGAAGTCTTTGTTCGAAGAAAAACAAAACGCGGCAAACGAACCGCTGTTTTGAATGCGATTAATCGGGCATTGGAGCTGGGGTTGATTTCAACTGATGAGATCTGTCTGATCATTACCGCTTTACCGAACATTCTCGTCGAACGAAACAAGACTCTGGGATCATGGGACCACAAGGCTTTGTTGAAGCACTACCGGGCAATGTGGAAAGCTATTGGGTGCTGTCACATTCTCGGATATCACGATCTGGATAAAAGCATTCTTGACGCTTGGCTTGGAGAGCTCCTGCGCCTCCGCAGCTTTCGTTTTGCAGAGGAACTCATCATCGAAACCCATAATGCAGATAGTCGCAGCCAGTGGCCTTCCACCTTGGTTCAAGCCTGGCTAGAAACTATGGAAGCCGATTTGGAGACAAGCTTGCCGTTTCCCGATAAAATCTTCAGCCAGCTTGATGTTGACAGTGCGGCGGACTGTGTCATTCGTGTAACAGAGGCATTGGCATCGTCTTCAGCAGACAGGGTCTCCAGAAACCAATTGCTTGAAAGATGGCGGGATTGCCTCTCAAATGCGGAAGTCATTTCGACCGTTGCAAAGTCGCAGGTTTGGTTCGATTTTCCTCTCCCGTGCGTTCAAACACAGATCAAGCATGCCCCTCTAAGCCATTCGACTCAACGCCAAATCATTTTGCGACTCTGGCTTCTACGAACGCTTGGTCGATCGACTGGGCCCATGTACAACCAGAAGGCAAGAGTAACAGATCGACCGATTTACTCGCTGCTTAATCTCTACGAAACGGTGATCCAATATACCAGTGGAGCTTTCTTTCCGGACTTCATGCGGGAAATCCATGGCCTCGATCTTCCATACAACAGCCTTCTGCTCTTAGCCGTCAACAAAAAGGGCAAAACTTCCATTACCAAAACAACCCGCAAAACACTTGAACAACTGGAAACCTCCAAGCTCTCCCTAGCAGAAGTGTGGACAAACCCATCCATATACAAGGGAATACGAAGACTTTTCCACACCACATTCGACCAAATGTTTCATCGCATGAACCTCACCAGCCCAGACACAGTTGAACAAATCTTGAACGTTGTTCGATCAGGGGACTCAAAGAACATCTGGCCCATCCTCAGACTTCTGAACAACAACACCCCTTTCAAGATCAGCCTCCACAAAGCCTGGCAGCCCATTCCACACCCCAATGAGAAAGTCCTTGTGCGATACCACCCGGGCTTGCGGACCAGCCAATGCCCCGATCCCCATGCTGCGGTCGACCTCATAAACCAGCTGGCTGTTGCTCTGTCCTGCTGCAAGCACTTGACTCCGTGCCAGTCTTTCCATATGGTTCACTGGCTTTACGGGTATCTTCGCAGACACGGCGGGCCCGTGGATCCGGAGTTCGTGCGGGCCATGTATCATGCTGGTGTTGTCCGGTACCGTCGTGACGGTCGCCGTATATCACCCACTCAGTATGAGTATATCCTTTGGATCGTTGGCAAATTTGAAAGTTCCGAGGTTATTGAAGAGCTCACTGCCCTGCCTCAGATTGGTGAGACGAGGCTTGACCGGTAGTAGATGTGGTTCGTGAATCAAGTTTTACACAAAATTTCTAAGAAATAGAGCGACACGATACCCTGCTTCAATATTACCTTGCCCAGAGGGTGCTGAGATGAGCATATAATCTACATGAGACATACAGAGTTCTTGGAAACACCGATTTCCTGTCCTGGCCATACCTGCTCAAAACCTTGTGGCACATCTCCACGAACAAGTATGTCCGCGATCTTGTCTGAAGTAAGATCGTACGAAAACGTAGCGAGACAGAAGAAACCCATGCGTGCATTAAATCAATCCAAGAAGACCACTGGCCAGTGCATCTCCAAGAGAATCTAAGTATCAACTTCCATGCTGTCTCCAGTAGCAAGGTTATCATTACCCGACAGAGTTTCGATCGTGACATATTTCTTCATATCTTCCTTGCTGATAACCCTCTGGTCCAAATAAGCAGTAGTACCACGGGGGAAGCGGTAGTTGCGCTCCTTCTGCGGACGCTCGTTGGGCTTCATGTAGTTGCGGAGCAACTGGGTGGGCTGGTCCTTCTCGATCACACACACGTCGACATTGCTACCAGAGCCCAGATCGTTAAAGATACCAGCCTTGATTGCCTCCGCGCAGATATCGATGGCGCCCTGTCGGTCCAGGTTTGGTTGCCAGGTCGACTCAAACACAGACATCGCAGCCAGAGATCCGGATCCCATCGTCACATACGGCAGCTTGTCCGTCGATCCGTGTGCGTGCACAGTGTACAGTCCCGTGCCGGTCGGGTCCACGCCTGCAACAACAAGGTACGCTCCGATGTGGCCCTGGTACCGGAAGAGGTGCTGCTTGAGCATTGTCATACAGGTGATCACACGGGGGTCGCGACCCGTTGATAGCGAGTGAAGTTCGACGTTGGAGCTGATGAGTGCTGTGGTGAATTCGGTATCGGCGGCGGTACCGGCTCCAGCACACCAGATCTTCGGTGAGATGTAGTGAAGCTTCTCGCAGTTCTAGAGACAAAGAATGTCAAATACCTTCTAGCAGAAAAATGCACATAATCTGATCAGTGTGTTTTACCTTGTCTGCTACTATGGGACCGCTGGTAGCTCGGGTATCTGCTGCAATCTGTATTGGTGGTTCGAGTCAGCTCCTAGGTCACGGCTCATATAAATCTCCTCGCATCGCTGGGTACCGTACCACAACACCCTTATCGTAGATACAGCCCACAATTGTTGTACCGGTACTTGTGGCCTTGGGAAGGGGAACACCCCTAGCGTGAAGCGCCGCATTGCGGTTGTAGTTTGTGAAGTCGAAGCCCGGCATCGTGAAAACGCTGGTGTTCGCGACCAGCTAAACTAAAAATCGAGATAGAAAGCAGGTGTAGGAAGACAACAGAGCGATTTTCGAAGGTGGGGGGAGATCTAGAAGGATGGATGGACGAATGAGGTAGCAAGCTGGAGATGGAAGTGAAGAGGAAGTGAGCTGTTTGGAGTGACGAAGCTCCCGCAGCCTAAATTGGCGCCTTAATTACCAGGCAGAAACAAGGTGTTTTTGCCCGGGCATTATTTTCGAATTCAATACTCTCTCTATGTAGTCTTTCTTGACTTCTCTCTCTTCAACATTTTGCGCGTCGGCGATACCCGTTTCTTCAATTTTTTCCCGTTGCTTGTCTTCTAATTCTTGGGAAGCCGCGCAGCCTCAAAGATTTTCGCGCATATTCTTGACCTCTTCTCCCAGAGCCCTCAGTCACTCCATCGACACATCGCTCTTCACACCTCCAAACTCACCTTTACCTAATGCTCTCAGATATAGCTCTCCTCTAAGCGAAAGCACACGTTCTCCTTTTGGGAATTTTAATTCTGAAAAGCTCAGGAATGGCTTTCAACTTCGGTGCGTCCAACCCCGCTGGGGAAAGCACCTCTGCGGAGCTTGGTTCAGAGCTTCCCGATGTCTTTACCGATGTATGTCTAAGCCACCACAACTCTCACTCAGCATGAGCCTCTCTAACGTATGTGTAGGAAGTCGGTTTCAAAGGCGTCTCCGGGGACGCAAATATCCGCTTCCTCCCAACTGCATGGCCCGACAACGCGCTTCCTGCTCCTACTTCCTCACTTCTGGCTGTCGCACACATCAAAGGCCTCGTTGTTGGCGCTGGCCCAGATACGCTGGTAATCAGTACAACAGATGTCGTCAGAAAGTCCATCGAGGCGCCGGCTGGAGAAGATATGGAGAAAACGAAGCCATTCAAACCCATCGCCACAATTCCCCTTCCTTCTCGTCCCACTCATGTGGCATTCACACCGGGCGAAGACGGGTTGATCCTCGCCACGGAGAATGGCCCTGGGATCTCGGTTTTTGATACAAACGCTCTCACACAAGGAAATGCGCAGCCAGCCATTTCAATTCCTACAAATGGCGTGTCGCTGCGAGCATTGGCACCAAACCCTGACCCTTCCTCGACACTTGTCGCGCTGGTAACCATGAACGGCGATCTTCTTATCGCTGATCTTAAGGCTGGGAGCCTACTTCCTGGACCGAATGGCCCAGTTCTCAAGGATGGTGTCAGCTGTGCTTCGTGGAGCAACAAAGGAAAGCAGCTTATTGCTGGATTGGCTGATGGCACTGGATACCAGATGACTCCAGATGGAACGAAAAAGGCTGAAGTTCCTCGGCCGTCCGATTTGGAGGGAGATTGCCACAGTAAGTTTCAAATAATTGTCTGAGCCAACGATGTACTTTTACTTACGATTGTACAGTCTCATCCATCGCATGGCTTGAAAACGATGTTTTCTTCGTCACGTACACACCAAATGTTTCGGAGGACGATATGGGAATGAACCCACCTTCTTCATACTATATCATAACCCGTCGCAAGCAGGCACCGTTCCTCATCCAGAAATTGCCAGAAGTCTGCTCTACTATGGGCTTTATGCTGAAGCGTGGCCCCGCATACCAATTTATCACCAGAATTAGAGAATACAAGCCTCACTTGAGAGATGTCTTGATCGTGGCGTCAACTGCGTCTACTGATCTCGGACTTATCACGCGATCCGACCAACCTCTGGCGAATGATGATCGAACAAAATCTCATGTTGGTCAGTTCATGACCACAGAAGTAAGCGACGACACCAAACGTGCCAGTGTGCCGTTGAAAGACTCTGGAGATGAGACATCAGTCATTGGCCTAGCACAAAACCTGTCAGCTACGGAAAATGTTGTTGCGCCCCTTCCGGGTTCTGATATCTTGGAGAGCTCGACGCCCCTTCCCGGGGTGCTTCTTTTGAATAATGATGGTATTCTTTCGTCTTGGTGGTTCGTTTACGCTGATTCCATTCGCCAAAACATCCCGTACTCGGGGTTGATTTCGTCTGATCAGGCAATGCAAGCTCACTCTCAGCCACAGGCAGTAGCTTCAACCCCGGCCCCAACCTCTGCACAGAAAACTACGCTTTGCCAGCCATCGTTTGGATCTCTACAGTCATTTGGCCAGTCAGCTTTCAGCAACTCTGCGGGAGCTTCTCCCTTTGGTAGCCCATCGGCCCCAGGAGCTTCGACTATGGGCGCGACTGGGCTTGGGAAACAAAGTGCTCCAGCATTTAGCAGTCTCTCCCAGCTTGGTGGAAGCACTTCCCCCTTTGGAAAGACGTCGTCCCCGGCCCCTGCTCACGCTTTTGGGACCCCCTCTCAGCCTGGCGTATCATTCGGCACCCTCGGTACCCCTGCACAGCCAAAGTTCGGGCAGTCTGGCTTTGGTACTAAGGGACCTGGCTTTGGACAGTCTAGCTCCCCGGCAAACCCATTCGGGGCCAAATTTGCAGCATCCGGTGGTGGTTTCAGCCCCTTCTCCGGTGGAGATGGCTTCAGTAGCTTTGCAACCGTGAAGGCGGGCGAGTCACCATTTGCGGTAACGCAATCGAAAGGGTCGCCATTCGCAAACGCTTCTGCTGGTCAAAGTGCTTTCGCCAACAGCTCTGCTTCGCCCTTTGGATCCAAGCCTCAAGTCCCGACTTCGTTCCCACCTCCAGCGTCCAGCAAGGTCAAGAATCCCTTTGGCGCCGCGCAAGGTGGCTTTGAACTCAAGTCTACCTTCAAGGGCGATGGTTCGGCTGCCAATGATTTGCCAAAAGCAAACAAAACTTCTTCCGGATCGCTCTCATTTGGTGGCTCCTTCGACGAGATGGTTTCAACGCCCCGCAAGGGAAGCTCGTCGCCGAGTGAATCAATGGATGACGCTGAAGAGATCGAACCTGTGAATAAGGAGACTTTTTCAATTTTCGGCGGGGCAAGCAAGCCTGCTTCACAGACTCCCACATCCATGTTCAGTTCAAAGACGCAGTTCTCAAAGGCAATGACTCCGGCCGAAAACCCGAAGCCAGCATTCTCGATGTTTGGCACTACTGCTGACCAAAAGCGCGTGACCAGCTCATTGTCAGCACTATCTGATAAGACAGAGACGCCCAAGAAGACTTGGTCTAACACATCGAGCATCAATGTGGAGACGCCATTGCCACCAGATCCTATCACCCCGGCTAGTTATGCGGCTGAGGATGCCCCGCTTCCTCCTGATTTCACCAAGGCGAAGAAGTCTTCACCGAAAGCTGATGATGACGCCCCTCTACCGCCTGATTTCCTTTCAAAGAAGAAGATTGCACCTAAGACGGACGACGCCCCTCTTCCCCCCGATTTCCTCACCAAAAAGCCTGTTCCGAAGACGGACGACGCTCCTCTTCCCCCCGACTTCCTCACTCGGAAGCAGTCTGCACCCAAGATTGACGACGCTCCCCTTCCTCCAGACTTCCTAACAAAGCCCAGAAAGTCCGAGGCTGCGGTTGTCCCCGAGGACGCACCTCTCCCGCCCAACTTTACCGCAAAGCCAAAGACTAAATTCTTCGAGGAGGCAACTCCAATCCCCGATGAATCTGACGAATCTGGCATCTCCGATGGAGATTCCGAGGCCGCAGATGAGTCGGATTTTAGTGACAGCGGCGAAGAAATCACACACGATGAAGCAATAATCTCCAAATCCAAGCAATCGACCCACAGCTCGTTTGGCGCTGTTTCTGAGCAAAGCTCCACCAGAGGTTTCTTTAGCAGCCCTGCTCGTAATGCAGATGATCAAGCCCGTCTTCCCCGGCAGCTATTCGGGGAGATTCCCAAGCAGCCACTGCTTCCTCCACCGGGCCCCATTGCCCAAAGTAATCGTGAACCCTACCGGTCACCGAGTCCGGTTCGGGCCGCGCCGAAAAAGAACGTGCTATTCTCTGAGAAATCACATGGCCGTAAAGGGTCTACAGGCGCGTTACACTCGCGCAAGGCATCCCTTACCCAAATTGCCCAGCGTGATGGCCATCTGAGAAAGGCTAGCGATGTTGCTCGCGAGGAGCAAGAGAAGCAAGCACGCGCACATGCAGCAGCTCAGCTTCAAGAAGATGATGTTCTATCTTTGTCTGATGATGATGAGGACGATAGACTCCGTGATGAACTGGCTCAGCCTGTCGAGCCTGTTGATACCCTGGATCCATTCTTGCCCCACCAAAACTACATGTGCGAGACTGCAAAGCCAGGTATCGCCGGCCAGGTCGAACGGCTCTATCGTGACATTAACTCCATGGTAGATACATTGGGAATAAACGCTAGGTCAATGGTGGGATTCCTTCTGCACCAACAGCCCAAGAAACCCTGCGATATCGATGAGTGGGTAATGGTTCTCAACAGCGACCAACCTGCTGAAATTCTCGACACGAATATGACCTTTAAGGATATCGAGAGATTTGAAGAGCTGATTGCTTCAATCGCGCAATCACTGAACAACCAGCGGGTACAAGGAGTGGATGAAAAACTCGACGCATGCCGCGACCTGCTCACAAAGCAGGTCGTCACCCTGCGAAGCCAGTTTGCAAGCATCCGCAAGACTCTTGACGCACACACCGACGTCGGCACTATTCTCGAAGCTCCCCTTTCTGCCGAGCAAGGTGCACTCCAGCAAGATGTACGCACCACATTCACAAATATCCAGGTCAAGATAACCGCCCTTGAACAGGCAGTCTCCCTCCTGCGTGCCAAAATCGCCGACGTTTCGCAGGCAAATGGCACAGGCAGGAACAGACCAACCGTCGAGGCTGTTACCAAGACCATTGCTACAATGATGAGCATGGCCGAGGGAAAGAGCACAGACATCGATGTTCTCGAGGCACAGATGCGCAAGCTCGGGGTGGACATTGCTCCCACAGGACCCCCAAGCCGCGAAGCCTCCCCCTTCTCTACCCCTCACAAGAACACTGCTGGCCGTATTCCCATGACTCCTGGGTCGCGAGGCTCGATTGACGGTAGCGCCTATCACACTCCTGATTCCGTTTCGCGCGGTCTCAACTTCCGGGCTAGCATCAATGGCTCCGTGAGACAGAGCCGTCTCCGCAACGTGGAGGGGGCTGGCGAGCCTGCCCTCCCACAAGAAGATATCGTCCAATACAAGGCCAGGAAGTTGCGTCGCCAACACTTGAAAGCAAACTTGAAGAAGGCCTTGGAGGACAAGCAGGCGAAGGTGCTCGATGTGCAAGCTCCAAATCCCCTAGCGACATGAAAACTCCAGACAAACGTCATATAGTTAACTCTATATGGTATCATGAATGCTGTCGGCCTAACCAAATGTCGGATTTTTTCCATGATTACTAGTCCCAGCAATTGATCCACACTGCGTCAGAAACTTTGCCTCATTCAAATGCCTTCAACACGCACCAGGTATATCACAATTCAATCTACATCAACCTTGACCAGACTGTATTGACTGACAAAAAATAGCTTTATGCCCAGATTAAGCTACCTCCTAGTATGGGGGCGACGAAATTTTGACACGGTTTTTCTTGGTATGCAATGTCACTGGAAGCAATATCCTTGCTTTCTTCCTGTCTGATCTCCTGGCACTTGAATTCGATATGGTACTTCATGGTGCAATTGTGCAAAGCACATCGCCAATCAAAATCGCTGGTGGTCCGGTGTTACAGCCTCTGATAGTTGTTGATACGTAGATGGTCACATCTGCCTTTATGACACTTACCTCGTGATTTGAGGAGATTGCCACTGTGAAACCAGATAGCTCAGGAGATGCATGCCTCCCAGGGGATGCTGTGCGTAATCATTCATTTTTTTGCAACTGCGCCTGAAAAAGCCAATCTGTATTTTTGCGCAAAGAAAGGCTGCATTCGTGATCTTCCTGTCTGAGTTCTTTTAATTTTTTTTTAATTTTTTTTCGCTTGCCTAGCAAATGACTACCTCTCATTTGCCTTTCTGTAAGAGTTAACCCCCTGGCGCTTCACAAAGAATGGAATTCGGTCAATGATATAGTCGGGACAAAAGTAGCAGAAGGGAGAATGCACATCTTGACGCATCAAGATAGAATGAGACTGGTTTCAAGGGTTGTTCATCAAAGACCAACTACAAAAAGCCATTGTAACAATGAATGGCACAACTCCTTTGTCCTAGCCTACGACGCAGAACCTATAGAAAAGGCCGATGCCCTCGAGTTTTTCTCCATTTAAACACCACTAGCTCGGAGATCCTACAAATAACTTCCCAACGACACCCACTTCCTTCACATCTATACTATTTATTAGCCAGAGAAATGGTGGGACACGCGAGTTATATGTGTCCTTTCATGGTGGGCTCCGAGCATCTGGTGGACCCCCAAGATGATGTGGCTCTTTGGATTACAGTAGATTTTCCCGAAGCAACGAGGTTTACCCATAGTGACGAACAGCTGATGGAGTTTGTGGTTCAGCAGGTTCAAACCCACAATATCAATATTTCCGCTCACGCCCAGCATTACCTGCGACACTGGTGTATCTCGCTACCAGTTGTCGGAGTGCCTAGGGATGAGGAACACAATGATGCAGTCATGGCTCAGGCTAAGGCTCTGGCGCTCTGGTGGCTCAAAGCAATTCGTGCACAGAGGGTCCATCTTGACCGGAGTGTGATTTTCCCTTGATCTGATGAGAAAACAGTTATATCATGGCAATCATAGAGGGAATATCGAATCGTTGATAGTTCGCAAGTATTGGATTAAGGTGAGAGGTATGAGGCGTGCAATCGACGGGGTTATACCAGAGTATTTGATAGATGAGTAGAGCAGCTACGTTGAAAATAAGGAAAAATGAACCAGACTCTCATGGAAAGGCATCCAGTTTCACAAGTGGCAAGTAGCACCTAAACCGTAAGTCCCGATTTCTGGGATGAATACCGAATGCCACAGTCTATCATTTAAGTGGTTCGATGACGTTGAACCGCCACCAAAAGTCATGAAATGCCATTTTGTTTTGAAAGGCAACCGAATCTACAATTCGACAGGAGCACTGTAGCAGATACATTAACCAAAAAGCACGAAATGCCCAAGGATCTAGTGTATCAAAGAAGGAGAGATCAGATATCACAAAGAACACAATCTGCATCCCTTTACCCTAAATCATGTTGTGAGAACAAAGTCGTAATCCGCATTATATCAAACGTGTCGAGCATATTCCCGCTGAAGGCGCATAGCCGACTCTCAAGACAAGGGGTTGATTTCACCGATGAGCCAGATTCACCCGGAAGACATGCTCAAGCGAGGAAGCAGCGATATGGGAGCCGTTTGATTTGGAAGCTCACCAGTTTCCGTAACCAACGGTAAGAGAAATAATGGATGACAGGAGCCATTATTTCGGTTTCGGACAAGATAAGCTGCCGCAAGATCAAGATTGCAAGAGCTCTGCAGGTAATTGTACCAGCACCAGGACACACATGAGTTACCAGAACATCACCCATCTCCTTAGCTCATTTGTGTAGGGTGTAGGATATAGCGTGAAAATGTAGCCAAGAAGAACAAGTCGAGTTCCTTTTTCTCTCGGAACAGAGTGGATAAACCAGTAAATTAGAATGTATGGTTGATGCCAAAGAGGAGACAAAAAAAAAGTCGGAGATAGAAGAGAAGTGGAGAGAAGATCCAACGACTATGGCTTTACTGGGGAAGGTCGTCAGAACACAAAATAGGAAGGAAGGTGCCAGTGCTCCGTTTCCGTTTCCTATTTGGGATTCTAAGGGTGACATCATAACCTCGTCAGCCACTCGATATTTTGATTTCTCTTCCCACATAAGAGGAACAAACCAACCCAATATGTCTCAAACCGTTAGTCAGATCATCTTCTTCCGCGTCAAATCCTCCGTCAAGCCTGAAGACCCGGTCAGCGAAGAAGGCGAGGCTTTACTGAAGATCTTCCGGACAACCCAACAGCAAAGCGGTCATAAGCACTCATCCTGGGGACGCACAGTCGAAGACAAAGATACCATCGTCTGGGTGATAGGTGAGTTCAGCAACCCACTGAAACATCCAACTACGATCAACTTCAGATACATCCAACCCCCCTACGAACCTACGACCTATGGGTCTAATCAAACCAACAGACTGGACCGACCCTCGTAGCACAATAAATATCCACCTCCTCGAACCATTCCTGGCCCCAGAAAATCCCCAGCCACCGTCATCGCTCCACGTCACATTCAGCCCACCACTCTCTTGCACAGAAACCCTAACCAAAAATCCCGTGACTGAGCTGTGCACGCTGTCATTCCCAAGCGACCTCGACGTGCTAGCAACAAGGCAGATCAACGCGGATTTGATCAGCTTCCGCACCACACTGGTCGAGCAGCTACCGCAGTCAGCGGGGCCACGGTCGTGGTCGATGGGACATGTCGACCGGCCGAGTAAGCTAACGCACGAGAAGAGCCCGAGTGGGCAAGCTTTTGCGCACGTCCTCGCCGTTGGCTGGGAAAATGGAGAGGCACATCTCAAGGCCAAGGAGACAGAGAAGTTTGTTCAGGGTATTGCGCCTCTGAGGGAGAAGATGCTGCCGCCTATTCCTGGGTTGGAGATTAAACATATTAGTTTTCAAAAGATTGAGGGTTAGGGACACGAAGGCAAGAGGAACAAGAGCGGAAAGGAGGGAGAGAAATGAACGCAGAAGAGCGAGGTGCCATGTATTAGTGTTGGGGGCGCTTGAATGGTAATTTGAGCGGTGTTGCGCGGATCATAGGATATGGCGGTGGTAATTAGAGCAGGTATTGGAAAGGGAAACGGGCTACTTGATTCAAGGGATAATTGTGGGAATTGTTATTAGAAAGGCAGAAAATCAAATCACACGCCTTGGAATAAGATACAACAAGAAAAAAAAAGGAAAAAGGAATAACACCCAGAGAAAATCGAAGGCAAAGAAAAAGAGACTTCATTAACCACCGTAGACTTTTGGGCATAACCCTGCAATAAGACTCTTGTAGCAAGTGTGGGTTGCGCTGCTCAGGCTTAGATTCGGTGTTTTTCACTCTCTGTCCAATCCATTAGAACCTGGGCACCAAACGTTTTTCCTGGAAGACTTGGGAAATCTGGGAAAGGGGGGGACCAACCAAGTCGGGAATAGAGCATGTACAGAGCCATCTGGTTGCACTCCGCGGTACCAGTGATGGTGACCAAGCGCTCATTGCTGCTCTCCTGGGGCTCGTTGATCTTGATCACACTGCCGCTGAGGTGACGTATCTCGTTAATTTTAGCACCACCCTTGCCGATGATGGCGCCAACCATATCGTTGGGGATGTAGATCTGCTGAGTCAGTGGCTGACCGGGCATGGAAGCGCCTACAGGAGCGGGGGCTGTTGGGGGTCCACGGCCAGGAGTTGGCTGCTGGGGACCCCCGACGAACGGGGCGGGTTGGTGGGGGCCTGCGCCGCCGTAAGGAGCCTGGGGAGCGGCAGGGAAGTGCATTGGGGTCTGGGGAACAGGGGCAGGAGCTGGCTGGCCGTGCAAGTAGGGAACACCGTATGCACCACCACCGGCACGGTTGGGGTGAGGGTGGTGACGCTTGAAAGTCTCGGGGTGGCCGTATTGGCCGCCGGCGGGCTGAGGAACGTATGGGACGACCTGCATGCCACCGGGGACAGCACCGGCAGGACCACCGCTGCGAGTGGCATATGCCGAAGCCGCGGGACCGCCGTAACGTTCAGACAGCTGCTCGACCAACGTGACTGCGACATAGTAGGTAGCAATGTGGACGGCATCTGCAACACCGAGAATGACAAGAGAGCGCTCCGTGGACAGGGGGAGGCAAGCATCCGAGGCGTTCAGGCGGGCGCCGGAAGCCTCCTGAATCTCACGAATGCGGCTGCCACCCTTGCCGATGATGGAGCCAATTAGAATGTGAGGAATTAGCAAACGCAGAGGGTACGTCTTGGATTGTGCGGTGGATGCAGCCTCCAGAGGTTCATTGTTCAGGGTACGGATAATTAAACCAAAAGCCTGATGGTTGTCATTAGCGATCGAATATTCGTAACCAACATATTGAATCGAAAAGAACCTACCTTGGCAGCAGCATCCTGAGGACCGCTAACGGTCAGGATACGCTCCACTGCACCTCGAGAATAATCACTGACAGTGCACTTGGCACCAGACAGACGACGAATCTGGGACACGTTCTCACCTCCCTTTCCAATCACGGTGGCTGCCTCTGGGCTAGAGATCACCGCACGAATATGAACCCAGCTCGACTCGTCTTGGGGGGGTTGATCAGAGCCTGTTCGGTCGGCCTGGGAAGCTGTCGATTGGATGGGTTGGGTGTCGACAGGGAGACCCTTGCCATTGGGCGCATCGGGGACCACGGTATCGCCCTGGGTATCCTTGGCACCCTCAACAGTAGGAACCTGGCTACTGGATACATCTGTTTCCGCTTCGGCATCGGCATCGCTCTTGACTACTTTGTCCAGCGCCGGGCGCTTGGCCTCAGGCTGGTCATTGGGGCCGGACGGGGACGAAGGATCCTCAAGAGGACGCTTGGTCGACTGAAGGTTGGATGGAGAAGCCGACATCTTGGATAGTCTGTGCTGCTGTTTGTGTTCACTTACAAGTGAAAGCGGAAGATGTCAAGAATGGAATCTGCGTTCTTCTTTTTATGATCGTTTTTATGTACACCAGAATTTCCCACGAAAGGTGCTGGTGCTGGCGATCGGAAGGGGAAATTGGTGCTTTGAAAAAAAGATTGGAGAGGCTGTGAAGGAAGGGTGTTTCTGAGGGAGTGCCGATGTAAGACGAAGGAAGTGCAAGTTCAAATGTGAGAGGGCTTTGCAGTCACAGCCGGGGAAGCTTCACGGGGTCTGCCGAGATGCTCAAAATGAATGAGGAAGCGGAAAGGGTGGAGATGGGATCCTTGAGTGAACGCGACGGGAAATTTGAAATGAGGAAAGTAAGATATCAAGCGCCAGAAACCGTTGCCTGCTGTGCCACACTGTAGCCTCCGATAACGTCTGAATCTGAGGTCAAGGGTGTGGACTAAACTCGCAATCGACAAGATAATAGCTGTTTCTGACAAGAACGTAGTAGATTTTCGAGAAAAGGCGGGGATAAGGGGATTTATGAAGACGATGAAACGAACTCCCGGTGAGTAAGGAGAAGAGGTTCAGTTGACGATGAGGGAGGGAAGTCGAGGGTGAAGCTTGGTCACATGATGTCGACGCGAATGTTGCATGGGCGTGATGCATCTCGTCTCGCGTCTAAGATTTTGATTGCCTCTAAGGCTTCGGTCAAACATTTTACACCAAGTCTAAATGGCAATCGAGTTCTAATTAAAAGTCTTTTTTGTTACATCTAGAAGGAGATATTTGCATCTCGCGTCACTCCGCCGAAATAAGCATGGATATCACCGACCAAACAGTGCAGAAGATCCGGAAATTCGCAGAGAAACGCCAAGAAGCAGAGTACGAGTCTGCAAAAGAACCTCTTAGTGGAACTGCATTGCACGTGTACACGCGGCGTTTGGATGCAACCCTGCAAGGGCTTCAAGAGCAAGTCAAACGTCAGCAAGATGAACTGAACAAGGCATGTTACGAGGTTCTCATAATAGAATGCCTTGCCTGACATACGTTACAGCTACGGGAGCTCCATTCCCTTGATTTAATAGAAACGGGCACCGCTTCCTGGGCCCGCATCTCCCAAGCCCGACGGGCCAAGAATGCATACGACTCGCTTCTCAAGTCCGATGATAAGCTCCCAGCGACAGACTCAGTGTTGCCATCACTTCTAGCCATAGAAGAAACTGCACGACTCGTTCAAGAAACTAAGGTCTCTGTCATTATGACCACCGAACAGCTGTCCGTCGATCGCGAACGTCTACGAGTTGAAGAGGCCAATCTACGCGACTCTCAATCAATCGCAAGCGGACTACGAGAGCGGATTCAGAGAATCCATAATGCGAACACGAGAAAGAAAGAGCAGACTCCGTCCCAAGTAGCACGCGAGCAGCTCTCCCTGCAGAATAAGCAAATTAAAGAACTGGACCGCACGTCCGCGAGCCTCAAGGTCTCGTTGGATAACTTCATCGATGAGACACTTGCTCCAATGCTTGCGGCTGAGGATCTGGGTGGCCCGACTGTGGGCGATACTTTTGAGGTGTCAGATGCTACGCTGAAGGCGGGTTATACGGCGCACGGCAAGCCCAAGAAGCAGAAAGAGCCGGCAGAAACGGAGGATGCATCACAGCAGCGGATTGACAAGTTCATGAAACGCAACGCGGACGAGGCTTCCACAAACAAGAGAGAGACCGCTGCGAAGGAGATGCATGGCCTTCTCGATGCTATGTTGGAGGCTGACTCCTACATTGATTTGGAGCGCGACTCGGCGTCTTCAAGGTTCCTCGTTAGAGCCAAGGTCGCGCAATTTCACCCTCGAGATGCACGGCGACTTCGACTGATAGATTTTGGTCGCTCACTAGCGAATTAAATGTGGAGAGCTTCCACGATTGAGTGGAAAAAAGTTGTTGTTGACTCTTTAATGTGTATCTTCTTATTTTTGGTCCTCTGTAAACAAGTCAAATACTACCTACCTAATCCCGCACCCGTGGAATACCTCCGAATGATTCCGTACAAATCGCGAGAAGAAAAAACACCTAGACATGCTTGTGCGTACGCCAAATCAATCATATAACATCGTCACAAAAGGCTGGGAAAGAACAATAAAAGAACCTCAAATGGGCATCATTCCAATCATAGATTTAGATGCTTTGGCACGCGCATTCTTTCGCGAGGCAGATGATTGGCTTGTGGCACGGTCGGCCGGTTTGGCCTTTCCTGTTCGTGCGCCGACGCCTTTTCCCTTCCAACCGCCAGTGGAGCCATACTTCCGACGTGATGGTCGTTTCCCACTGGCAGGTTGCCGCTTGCGACCTTTGGAGCCCGAAGGCGCAGTGTTGGATTCCCAGTCGTCACCAGAATCATACCCCGGAGATGCTGCCGGAGGGAAGTAGCGGCTTGTGATATTTTCAGCTGCATTGCTGGGTGCGGGCGAGACAGGATTGTCGAGATTGAAGGTGGAAGCCTCGTCCATAAACAAGTCCTCGTCACTATACTCATCGCTGCTGCTGAGATTGATGACATTATGATGGTTGGGATCCGGAACAACGCCGCTGGTCTCTGCTTCCTGTGTCATTTCCAGATAGCGCCGCTTTGCATTGTCAACCAGTCCCAGGATTTGCCGGCCGTAGCGCTTAACCTTATCTTGGTCGATGCCAGGGATCGCGGAAAGCTCAGCAAGATCTACTTCGTTGTCAGCCTGGTGTTCCAGTTTCATCGAATAGTGCCTATTTACTTGAGGGGAAGGATATGCCCATATCACGTAGCACCTGATCAGAGAACGGTTGGCATCGAAGGCCCTTCTTAACGACAAGCTGTTACAACCGTCAGTTTCTTGATGGCGTACCACAAGTGTGGCGATTACTCACGTCTTGAAGCATGATTTTGGCATGCTCTTGGAAATCCTCCACAACTACACGATGCATTTGATTAAGTCGATCCAACTTCTGATCGCTGGTGATTGGAGGGCCCATCTCGTATGTGTTTGCGCGGCGAGATTTGCCGGTAATTCGAATGGGCTCAAAGCCATCACTATCCTCATCGACCGAGGTACGTGCGGCTGGAGCACTGGTATATTGATAACGGTCAAGGCGGCGGTCTTGGGCAGCTTGCACTGGAGAAGAGACCATGGTGGACTGAGGATCACTGCCTGAATTGCCAGACTTTTTCTTCTGAACGGCACCCGCGGGTTTGCTCTTGGCTTTAGCCTTGCTATTCGGCGAGGCGCGAACTTGTAGTTTCATTTTTCGCTGGCCACTCTCATACTCTGCTGCGCGACGGCCGAGAATGAGGTACTGAACAGCAAAATCACTTTTATTGATCACGTTGTCTTCAGCCAACGCGTCTTCACCCAGCAGCCGGTAAAATAGACGTTCGGCTGCTCCACGGTCGAGATTAGATCCCTTGCCATACCCCGGCATCTTGCGATGCTCTGGAGCTTTAGGCCGTTTGCAGTCTCCACGGAGTATGTCACAACAGTAGAGCACAGTCACCTTCTCCTTTGTGTTCTGGAATTGTCGCACAATCTTGATGGCCCAAGATGCCTCTTCAGTAAAGTCATGGAGCTCAAACACCAAACCGGACTTGCAGTTATCACAAGTATTGTTGCAGTCCTCCTGGCGGAAGTATTCCGCAAAATAGGCGAGGACTTGCACTCGTCTGCAATCGCTGCGGTTTTCACAGAATTGAACAACATTTCGCAACATCTGCTTCTGGCGACCTTTTTGCTGACCATTGCCATCTCCTGCATCAATCATCCGCTTCAAGGTTGCTGTGTCTTTGTAGCCGAAGTAAAGATAGCAGCCAGAACGCTTGCCATCTCGACCAGCACGACCGGTTTCTTGATAATACCCCTCAAGACTCTTTGGGATACTGTGGTGCATGACAAATCGCACATCGGCTTTGTCGATTCCCATTCCGAATGCAATGGTGGCAACAATGATATGTACTCGACCCATCTGCCAGTTCCTCTGAGCTTCTGTTTTTGCAGTTGCTGACATACCTGCATGATAAGCCTGTGCCTTGAGGCGGTACTTTGTCCGTAGATCCTCTGCAGTCTTCTCGCACGTCTTTCGCGAGAGGCAGTAGATAATTCCGCACTGATTGCGGTATGAGCTTGAAATGGTTTCCGCCATGCTGGCCAAAACTTCATCGTTCTTTCCCTTCGACCGTACCTCGTAGGTGAGATTAGGACGATTGAAACTCTGCAAGAACACTTCACAATCAGTGATTTTGAGATTGTGCATCACATCAACCTTGACATTTTCAGTGGCGGTGGCTGTCAAGGCCATGACTGGTACACCAGGGAACCTGGCTCGAACCTCTCCTAGTTCTTTGTAGTCAGGCCGGAAGTCGTGTCCCCATTGACTAACACAGTGGGCCTCGTCGATGACGAGGCGTGCTAGTCTGTTTCTTCCATGAAGCTTCTCAAGGGCTCTGATTAAGGCTTGGCTTTTGCTGAGCATCTCAGGGGTGATGTACAGGACCTCCATCCCCTCGCCACCTGCATTTGTAAGCTGGCTCATGATCCAGGACTTTTCCTCTGGGTTGGTGTCACCGTTAATCATAAATGCCTTTACTTTCAATTTTTGCAGGTGTGATACCTGATCCTCCATAAGACTTAGCAATGGAGATATCACGATCGTCACTCCCGTGGTGCTTCCGCCCGTTACCACAGAAGGTAATTGATAGCATAGCGACTTTCCTCCTCCAGTAGGCATGAGGATGAAAGTATCCTTGCCAGCAAGTGTTGCATCAATAGCTTCAAGCTGATTGGGTCGGAACCCGCGGAGGTGGAATCGATCTTTCAACACTTTCCTTACTTCTTGAGACCATGGATGGTTAGACCAGAAGGCACTATGACCGGGTGACTTCTTCGGGACAGGGGCCTTCGAAATGTTACCAGACGTCTCTGCGAAAACTTGGCGGTTTTGGCTGGCTTGCTCGCGAACGGGCATCTGATGAGCACCATCGAAGCCCTCTGCCGCCTCCAAAATCTCATCGTCACTGACATTCCAGTCGAACTCATCGAGATCCATCGAATCCAACGGCGGGGAGCCCATATTCCGAGCAAAAGAGGCTTCATAGTCATCCGGCAGATGTGTCTCTTTGGCTTCTCTGGGGCTTGTGGGGGGCAACCGCTGTTGGCCACGGGACTCTGTGTTTAAGTCGGCACGCGAAGAAGAGAATAGAGGGGGCGTCCGCGTGACTGCGTGGCCTTCGAAGGTGGGCCGAGAATTTTTCAGGTGAGGAGGGTCGGATGGACAATCGTGTGCCAACTCGAGGATTTTGGCTTTAGATAGAAGCCGAAAGATTTCTGTTTCGGTTTGTTCTAACTCAGCCTCAACTGCCCGACTCCGTGCAAGCTCTTTTGGCATGGTTGTTGGGTCTAGACCTTGTGAGATCACACGTATCAGGTTTTGCTTCAGGTCTTGTTTGCGAGAAATACTGCCCTTGTGCCTGTTTTGATGCTTTTGCAACAATTCAATTGCCTCAATTTGGGCGACAAGAGTCTTGTTCTCAGCGATCAATTCCGGGACTGGCTGACCCTCCATGGCCTGTTGATAAACAATCTCAGAATTCTTTTGTAGAGTAGATCTCAATTTTGAAATTGCATGCCCGAAGGCAATTTTCCCGAGCGCCAAAAACTTCAGAAGATCGGGATCCTTTTCCTGTGGATTGGACGGCTTCGACCAAGGGGTCGACGGGATAGGGTCTTTGGCAACTGCCCTTTTTTTTGGCTGAGTCGATGGTTGCGCATTTGGATGCGGTGCTTTGGGCGTACATTCCAATCGCGAAATCTTGGTCTCGATCTTTTCCTCATCCGCCACCGGACTCGTCTCGGGGAGTATTGGGTACAACCTCTCCTCGGCATCCAAGATCATCTTATCGGCGGCGTCTTCATTATCAGCCCAATCGTCAAAGAGATCGTCGTCATCGTCTGAATCCGCAATCACTCGTTTCCTGTGGCTCAGTTGGGCAACGGGTGAATGGTATTCAGGTCTCTTTGCGGCGCTTTGGAGATTTCTTTGAGTTCTTTGAGTTGTCTGATGCGGGATCATGGGCTGTTCCGACACAATGCTTCTGGGGGCGGGGGGTAGAGCCGCTTTCGAGGGAGTTCGCACTTTCGTCGCATGTTTCGATGGGGAAAGAAGGTCGGATGTATACTCGTCACTCTTGCGCTTCTTGCCGCGTTTCTCACGAGTTCCGCATGGGGTGCTTTCTTCTGCCCATGACCCGCGCGGCTCAACAGCCGGAATGGTATCCGAGGATAGTCTAGAAATATCAAGATCGCCCGTCAAATCAATTGATTCAATGTCATTAGGTGCAGGTGAATGGAAACTGTCTGATCGCAATGGAGTCGACTTTTGCCGGGAAAGTTTGAATGATGATAATAGTGGTTCTCGGATGGACTCTGTTCATCGTGCAGGTTGTGTCAGTGTATTAGTTTCAAATTAAAATTTGTCTGATTCGGTCAAATACCTCGAGCTATGCTTGACTGTTTTGGCGAAGCCCGTCTCTTCGCAGTTGACGGAGTACTTGTGGGGACCGTGTCATGTCGGCTTAGCATTCGAGGCTTATTCGCCGATTGGGGTAGTAATCTAGCCATTGATTCATCCGTCTCATTCTCCACGTCTTCAATGATACCATCGAGGGCCGCGAATTCGTCGGTGGGGGAAATCGATTGGTGTGATACGTAATTGTTGCGTTCAGGCAAGCTGGTTTGTGCCAGAGGGAGGTGGGGAGGTTTCCCTTGGGTTATCAGCCATTTGAGATGAGTCGCTAAGTTATTTTTCGTCATGGGGGCCTGTTGCTGTCATGGCCGTCGATCGTGATGTTTGGAGCGATGGGCAGGCACAATCGCGAAATCGATAGACGCGTCGGCACGTGAGCGGTCAAACAAAATTGATCTATCCCAGGCAAGTACGTTCAACTTAGAATTGCTCGGTAAAATTGGACTAAGAACATCAAGTTTGTATAGGAATCATCAATTTAATTTTATTTTATTATATTTACTGATCCTATATGTCAGCAAAACCCCAGTGGTGCAAGCAACACACATAGAGACGTGGAGCTGATCTGGAGGGGGGCAATCCAGTGTGGGGAAGGGCATAATTTCTGCCCCACGAAAAGAAGATAGCGAAAATTCACCTTCTGTATCCAACATTGAGCCAAAATGGCCAAAAAGAATAAGAAGTCCGCCGAGCACAAGGATCGTGTAGCGGCGAAGCAGTCAAAGAAGTCTGCGCAGAAAGAAAAGAAATCCAAAGCCAAGGGCAAGGACGCAGACAGCGATGCTGAAGACGCAGATTTAGATGCCATTTTGGCCCAGTACGCCGAAGAACAGGCCAAATTCTTGAAGGTCACCGAGGTTCATTCCGAGCCGCCGGTCCCGCGCTCGTCTTCAACCGTGCTAGCATCTCCATCGAATCGAAATGAGCTGTTGCTTTTCGGTGGAGAGTACTTTGACGGGACGCATGCCACTTTCTTCAATAACCTTTTCGTCTATTTGATTGATCGCGGCGAATGGAGGGAGGTGACTAGTCCCAACAGTCCTCTTCCTCGAAGTGGTCATGCATGGTGTCGGGGAGGAAACTCTGGGGGCATTTATATGTTTGGAGGTAATCTTGTCCTGCTAGATAAATCGCAAATTCTTTGTGTGGAGACTTACTATTAGCAGGAGAGTTCTCGTCGCCGAAGCAAGGCACTTTCTACCACTACAACGATTTTTGGCACTTAGACACAGCTACAAGAGAATGGTCCCGTCTCGAGGTCAAAGGCAAAGGTCCTCCTGCTAGAAGTGGTCACCGTATGACCTATTTCAAGGTATGTGTTTCGATTTCACCATCTGTCTTTTGAATCATAGCTCATATCGAGACAGAACTACATCATCCTCTTTGGTGGATTCCAAGACACCTCTCAACAGACTAAGTACCTGCAGGACCTGTGGATCTATGATTGCAATCAGTATACCTGGTCCAACCCCACGTTGACCATTGCGTCTCAAAAGCCCGATCCTCGCTCGTCGTTCTCCCTGTTACCGCACGAAACCGGTGCTGTTCTTTACGGAGGTTACTCTCGAGTGAAGGCAGCTGCGGGTGGTGGTAAGCAAGGCAAAGGCGGTGGTCCTCAGAAGATGGCTCTCCGGCCCATGGTGCACCAGGATACTTGGTTCTTGAGGATCACACCCCCTGCAGCTGAGGCCCCATCATCAACAGCACCCACAGTCCGATGGGAGCGACGAAAGAAGCCAGCTAATACGCCCAATCCGCCTCGTGTTGGCACTACCATGGCATATCACAAAGGCCGAGGAATTATGTTTGGTGGTGTCCATGACGTGGAACTAACTGAGGAGGGCATTGACAGCGAGTTCTTCGACACTCTCTTTGCTTGGACCACTGACAGGAACCGTTTCTTCCCTTTGAGTCTGCGACGTCCCCGCGCGCCTGGTAAAAAACAGCAGGCAAATCAAAACGCAAAGTCTAAAAATAGGGGCAAGGCGGACGAGGAAGAGCTCTTGGCAAATCTTAAAGCCCTCGAAGCTAAAGTTGGAATTCGGGACAATGACGACGATGATATAGAAACAAGCACGCCCCAACCAGAGGAGCCTGTGGAACCTGCAAAGCCCTCAGTTGTGCGCTTCGAAATGCCCCACCGGCGATTCAACGCCCAGCTGGCAGTGCAAGATGATACCTTATTCATCTTTGGTGGCACGTTTGAAAAGGGTGACCGAGAATTCACTTTTGACGATATGTATTCAATCGATCTAGTGAAACTAGACGGCGTCAAAGAGATATTCTATAGGGAGCCCGAGAATTGGAACCTCTTGAACGAAGCCGAAGACAGTGATGAGGATATGGATGACGAAGATGACGACGACGAATTGGATGAAGACGATGAGGCTGACACCGAAGCGATGTCTCTTGATGCTCCTTCGCCTGCCCCAACAGATGTAGCGGTGCCATCTATTGCGAAGGACATGGAACAACTCGAAGTTGAGGAGCCAGAAGAGCAAAATGTCAATGACAGCCGACCTTTGCCTCGGCCGTTCGAGAGCTTGCGAGAGTTCTTCAGCCGCACTTCTGAAGAATGGCAGAATATCATGATGGAAGTTGTCAAGGAGAGGGAACAGTCCGGTGAGAAGTCAATCAAGGAACTGCGCAAGGCAGCTTTCTCTATGGCCGAAGAAAAGTGGTGGGATAGCCGAGAGGAGATCATGGCTCTGGAAGATGAGCAAGAAGCCGCGGGCATTGGAGAGGTTGTTAGCATGTCGGACCGTACTGAGAACGTGGGAGGAGCTGGTCGTCGCCGCTGATACCCTCTATATATTTGCACAAAAAAATATCAAAGTGTTGAATGCTCAATTGTTTGAGATTCTAAATCTGCCTTATTAATGTTCACATGATGTTATTGCCTTAGCCCTGGGCAACCTTTGCCAACACGTCAGTTACCAGCACAAAGTCTCGCTCCACGTCGACTCGCCAATTCGAGATTGCAATACGGCAAGCAGGGGCTCCATCCCAGCTGGTACCCGAGACGAACATTCGCGAACTCTCATTGATCTTGCTTCCTAGCTCGCGGTTCAAGACCTCATCATTTGCACGAAACAAAACAGTCATAAATGTCCGATCGAGCAGTTCCGATTTGGACAATGCTTCTGGCAAGGCCGTGTACCCAGGATGCTCGAAGACCCATCCGTAGATTTTCCGGGCAAGCCTTATCTGACGCTCCAGCATTTCTTGATATCCAGATTTGCCATATGACAACAGCGATGCATAGACCGGCAACGCTCTGAATCGACGAGAATTTTCAATTCCGATGTTTAAAGGCGATGGGATGGAAGGACCCTCGGAGTTTCCAGCAGCTAGATAGGCAGCATTCGCATTTTGGAATACGTGCGATGCCACATTCGGGTGTCGAGTAAAGAAAAAGCCACAGTCGTAGGGAACGTTGAGAAGCTTGTGGCCGTCACCGGTAATCGAGTCGACCAGATCTATTCCTTCGCAGCCCTGCTTAATAGTTGAAAACTCCGGGCTATCACCAAGCACACGAGCAAAGATTCCAAATGCTCCATCGGCATGCATCCAGGCTCCGTACTTGTCGCATAGCTGGCGTATTTCTCTCAAATCCGCACCACTTGTTGCAAAACGACCGGTATTAACCTCTCCACAAGATAATACAACGATGCTGACCTTGTCTGTTCTCGCAAGTTCTTTTTGGAGCTTATCAATATCAAATCGGAGCGGGTCGTCGGCTCGGCAGATGTTGTGTACGTTGGAACGACCGATGCCTAGCACACCAGCAGCCTTCACGAGGGACGAGTGTGGCAGCGTGGATAACACTTGAACCCCAGAAAATTCCAGTGCATTCAATACCTCGAACAAGCCCTCTTCACCAACACTCTGAAGATGACAGCCCTTTCTTTGCGCCGCCTTCTGCAAAATAAACTCGCGCCCACATGCTAGGCCGAGGATGTTGCTCCCCGTGGCACCGGTAGTGAAAGTTCCATTATGCCAGATAGACCGATCTAGTTGGAAGAGGTCTAGAAGGAGACCGAGTGCGTTGTACTCCACATCGGTGACAATCGAGTGATTTGGGAGATGCACCTGGACGTTCTGGTCGTAAGCAGACACAACGTTGTCCGCGAAGAGCGCTGCCGGGGTAGTTCCGCCAGTGATGAAGCCATAGTAGTTAGCACTTAAGCTTGCTCCGTTGAATGCCGGGACAATATCATCGACAATGTGTTGCTGGACAGATTCGAGACTGGATCCTGTGTCCGGAAGTGCCAAGGGAAGAGAAGCCCTAGCTCGGACCAGGCTCTCAGTGCTAGGGAGAATGCTTGAGTCCCACCGTCCCTGAGTAGCCTTCCAAATGTCTTGATGGAATTGGTTCTGCATGGCTGAATTGTGTGTCTTGGGGGAAATCAGGCAGTCGTGCCAATTTATATCAACGCCGGGATCTCGGGGCTTGGAAAGTTAATGAGGCTCCCTCCAAGGTTCAGCTGCACCTTCAAAGAAAAGTCCTGGGTTCCTTCTAATCTAACATATAACGCAGGCGGGTCTAAATGTATGTCTTTGGATGACATCTCCAGAGAGAACGTTGAAAGCCTGGAGGGCGGGATGAGTGGGGCAAAGTTGGGGCCCGATGTTCCAACAGTTTCTGGTGACCTTGCATCCTTTGAAAGTCTTGGAAAAGATAGATGATATCGGAGCTGGGATGCCTAAAATCCGCAGGAATCCCCATTCATGGATAGAGTGGTGACTCTTGCTTGGCTGCCTTAGGTGCCGACCGAGTCAACTTGCCTCTGCCTCGGCACGGAGTACTGTCGAGGTAATCTCCAGTGCTGGTTTTGCACAGATTTTCCATCTTCCGCATGACCCCCGGTATCGCGTTGGATGTTAACTGCGCCTAATCAAACCGTACAAGTTCGGGGAGAAGGTACCGAGCAGAGAATTTATCTTGACTTCGTCTACTTGTTGCTCAGTCAACTACAAGCTCACTTTACTCTCCGAATTTACCTTGGCAATGCACAAGTTCTCCTTACTTGACCACATTGAAACACCTTATCTATGTTTTATGTCATGCTTGAATATTCCAGGGGTGCATAGCTAGCCCCGAGCAAGGAGACTCTGTCTCCTACAATGAGAACAAAACGCGTGAGACCAGTGCCTGGGATTGAGACCTTCGCTCTATTTCAATTTCAGACCAAGTCGCAGCCAGGAAGACGGAAAATTATCCACAGAACTTGACAAAGCAGTCACAAATATTACAAATTCAGTCGTGCATGTCTCAAACCAAATGTGTGCCAAGCCACATCCAATTGAGCGTATCTAAGTTCAATGATCGACGCAGATCACCCTTCTTCTGCTTGTAAATATTCCACATTCTGTCATCGCGCGTCTCCTGCGTTCCACATGAAGCCCCTGGGGTGAAGATACGCGGGGCTTGGTCCTACATCGACCGTGGTCACGTTCAAAACTTTCCTGCAACAATGGCTGCCACTTCAGTCTTCACCTACTCCGGAAGCACTCATCGTTGAGAGGGCGACAGCCATGTCTAGTCACATCAAGTTCGCAGAGGCGACCTTCGAAAAAGCTAGCAAAGACCGCATTAGGGGGCTCGGCCAGGAAAATGGGTCGGCACAGAGAGCGTCTTCTCCAGGAAGTGAAATTGTTTACCCGACAGGATGGAGGCTGATGTTTACCGCCACGGGGTATGTGCTTTGTCAAGTGTGATCAGGCTTTGGATGACGAATATTGACGATCGACAGACTCTTGATTGGATTCTTTCTATCTAATTTGGACGTCACAATTGTAAGCTCGGCTCTCACGGGCATCACCGATGATCTGGAAGGCTTCGAGAAGAGAAGCTGGATAATTACTGGATATCTGGCCACTTACACAGGTATGGTTCAAAAAAATGCAATTTAACTGTGACTCACTTTTTTTTTTTTTAATTGGTTTCTCCCAACCCATATATCTATCTTGACATAGCTTCCCACGGTCTCTGTCTCTCTCATTGCTGATGTCGCATTACTCCCAGGGTCTATGGCAATATGGACGAAAGTGAGCGATATAGTCGGCAGGAAACAAACCACAATCGCTGCCCTTGTAATTCTCCTCGCATTTTCTATCGGGTGTGGGTTTGCTCAGACAGTTAACCAGCTGTAGGTCCAATGTAGCTCTGCCCCCTTATATGTTCAAAGGCTAACTACTGAGGCAGCATAACATTCCGAGCACTCCAAGGAATTGGGGGTGCTGGTACATACGCCTTGACAATCCTATGTGTCTACGAGATAGCTCCTAAAACGAAGCTTCCCATTTACAGCAGTCTCATGTCATTTTGTCTTGTTTTTGCATCTTTGATAGGCCCGATCATTGGGGGTGCTCTTGCAGAAGACTCGACGTGGCGATGGACTTTTTTCGTCAAGTATGTGAATGCTCAGCATCTGTGTCGAAAGACATGCTAACAAACTCACTAGTGCACCGTTGTGCGTCATTGCGATGGTTGTCATCATCGTTGCGATGCCCAAGCACTTCGGTCTTGATCAGCACACTCCTTCATTTCGAACACGAGCCTCCTATCGCTCATTTGCTAATCTCGATATACTGGGATCACTTTTGATGATGGCTGGCTCATTTTTGATAGTCGCCGTCTTGAACGAAACCAATCTGGCATTCTCATGGTCCTCGAGGGACGCAATTGCGCTCCTCGTGCTCACGGGCGTTTCCTGGATTGCTTTCTTTGCTTGGGAATGGCATATCTCAGGCATCCCGGGTAAAGACCCCATATTTCCCAAGCGTTGGCTTTTCGATCGTCCGTGGCTGGGAATACTTCTGTGAGTTCGTTTGACGTTACGATATGACTTCTTCTGATGACCACTTTTAGTTCTTCTTTTGTCATTGGCGCACCATACAACGTCGTTCTAGTATATGTTCCCCAGCAAGCCCAGCTTCTGTTGGACAAAACGCCCTTGGATGCCGGTATCTATTTGATTGGGTATTCCGCTATTGCGGCTTTTGCAGCGGCTGTTGTCAACATCGCCAGCTCTAGGGGACGTATCCCGTTTATTTATACTCTGTTCGTGGGCTGCACAGTTCACACTGTCGGAATTGGGCTTCTTTCAACCATTGCCACTTCTAGAGGCTTTCACGCAGCCGATATTGGCTACCTAGTCATTGCTGGGACAGGAATGGGTCTGACAATGGGCATCCTCGTGCTATCGACGCCATACATAGTCGAAGATAGAGACCTGGGTATGTGCTCTCCCAAGATTTCTTGAAATTTAGGTGATTGATGCGTTGACTAATTGGCCCGTCGTATTTCGTTACAGCAATTGCCACTGGTACTGTAGTCCAGATTCGCTTCCTTGGCGGTGCCATTGGTCTTGCCATTGCATCTAATATACTGAATGGCCGTCTAGCGAAGCGTTTGCGCGGTGTCATGACGTCGCATGAACTGCACCTCTTTCTTGAGAATGTGAGATTGAAAAACACTCTTTCTCCCGAAATCCAGGAGGAGGTGAAAAGTGTTCTAGCTAGTAGTTTCAATACGCAGCTGCTTGTCATGGTCGGATTTGCGGCTGCTCAGCTACCGGCGACTCTACTACTGCTAAAGGCAGGCCGGCAGCTTGCAGCCCATAAATACTCGGGGAAGAACTCAGGGTGATAACTCGTTTTGTCTTTTCACTTTTGGGAATGATTCTTTGTTTGGAACAGAATGCCAGATTTGTAAAAATGCTTTTCAGCTCCATGTTTACTCTGCCCTAGGTCAATTTGCTACATTGTATCCGTCTCAGGACATCCTATGGTCCAAACCAAGCACATCGAAATTTTGATGAGGATAGAGAGAGCATACCGTCCAGCACAAACGTAACAATAGGCGTAGCCATACACCTGGTAGTGTAGCTAATTTTAAGGCCTTCCTATTCATCCATACAACTGGGATCGATGAAAAAAACCATAACTCTCTTTATACTGGGAGTGATTGCAGGTGAACAGTGGACAAAAAAATTTGGTGCGGTTCTCCGCAAAGTGGCTTGTTACCAACGCGCTATCTGTTTTTAGTCCACATCAACATCGCAATCATGGCCGCAAAACTGATTGATCGACGATTCCATAACGTTTCAGGTCTGTAATGTCTTATTAATCGTCACTTATTAGCCCACTGGGTTCGAAACTGATCAATTTGACCTTATCTAGGCAAATTTCGGGTTTCCGAGCTGTTCTTCGATGTCCCTGTAGACTACAGCAAGCCTGCCGGGGACAAGCTGAGGCTTTTTGCACGGAGTATTAGTCGCTTGAACAAACCAATTGAGCCTGCCAAAGAAGAGGGCAAGCTTCCTTGGTTGGTCTATCTGCAAGGTGGCCCTGGCTTTGGATGTGGTGCCCCGCAGTCGTACCCCTGGGTCGAATTCATGCTCAACAAGGGATATCAAGTGTGTCAAGCCTTTTGCTTATTGACTATAGATCGATGCTCATTCATTCTCTAGGTGCTTTTTCTGGACCAACGAGGCACTGGCCTCAGTTCGACTCTCACAGCGGGGACCCTTGCCCGCCAGGGTGATGCAATCAAGCAGGCCGAGTATCTGAAGAATTTCCGTGCAGACAGCATTGTCCGTGATTGTGAAGCCATTCGCGATGTCTTGACGCAGGATTATCCGCCTGACCAGCGCCGGTGGAGTATCCTTGGACAAAGTTTCGGTGGTTTCTGTGCCGTGACTTATCTATCAAAGTTGTAAGTTCTGAAAGACATTGATTTCCAGGTCTGGAGGCTGAACAACCCGCTAATTTTCCCTAACTTTCAGCCCTGAAGGCTTAAGAGAAGCTTTTCTTACCGGTGGCCTTCCCCCTCTTACCAACGGACCGGATCCTGTCTATGCGAAGACCTATGGTGTGCTCCCCTGATCACTTGGAGTGATTTATTCGTAATGTTAACACAAAAACAGAGAAGGTCAAGGAGCGAAATGAGGCATACTACCAGAAGTTCCCCGAGGACGTGGATCGTGTCAAGAATATCATGCAATACCTGACCCAAAACAAGGTTGCCTTGCCATCCGGAGTGCTCACTCCTTCTCGCTTCCAGCAGCTGGGCATTATGTTCGGCTTCCATGGTAAGAGCCTTGACTCTGACAATAACTCTATCGAAGCTAACACAATCTAGGTGGTTTCGATAGTCTGCACGGTAAATTTTGCCTTTTCCCGTGAAGGTTGCAATCAAGAATACTAACCCGAGACTAGATATCGTCCTCAGAGTCTCTAACGATTTAGAGATGTTCGGATTCCTTACCCTGCCGACTCTTTCGGTGATTGACAATAATGGCGGCATGGACAAAAACATCATTTATGCCATTCTGCATGAATCAATCTACTGCCAAGGGTAAGGAGAAGCTTTCGGTGCCGTTCACTCTCAATGACATATCTGTGTCTAACAGTGAATATAGAAAGCCGTCACTCTGGGCTGCAGACAGGCTGCGCGCTAGCAACCCGCAATTCCAGATCAACGACTCGCTGCCTGAGATTTATTTCACCGGCGAGATGGTAAATAGCCCAACTCAGTCTAGAAAGGTGTAAACAGAAAGATCTAACACTAAATCTTACCTTCTAGGTCTACAAGGATATGTTTGAGTCCTATTCGGAGCTCGCCAAGCTCAAGGAAGCTGCTGAAATCCTGGCTACGACAGATGAATGGCCGGCCCTGTACGACGAGGCTCAACTAGCCAAGAACAAGGTGCCAGTCTATGCTGCAACTTACATCGATGATATGTATGTTCACTTTGATCTGGCCGCAGCCACTGCTGCCAAGATCAAGAGCTCCAAGCAGTTTATCACCAACACCATGTACCACGATGCGCTGCGCAGCAAGTCTGGTGAGGTCATGCGCCAGCTCTTTAACTTGAGGGAGGATACATTAGATTGATCCACATGTGCGATGTTTCATTTGATACATAGTATGGATTTTCTAGCAACACGATGAACTTGGAGCATCTGACAGTACATTCTACGGCAGTCTTTTGGAGTGTAGAGGTAAGCTTAGTCTTTCTAAATAGGTCAAAGATTGATAATAATCATAATGTCATTTCGGTATTTGATGTCTTGAAAGGTTGTTTTTTATTTCTCGTTCCTTATCCAACTACTATACTTCTAACACGAATAAGAATGCTAGGCCACTTGTGCGGCTTTGTGATGTCTTTTCAGATGAATGTAAAAAAAGCGGAAAAAAAAAGACCACACTTTATGTCAGAGGCTTGTCTATGTATTAGGTACTATCAACACGTTCTCATAGAGAAACATCCAGCGCGCCTTACCTATCACTCCTACCATGAAGCTGTTCAACGCTGGACCCAGAAAACTAAGGAGCAATCAAAAAGAGAGCCTCAAGAGGGCCTCGCGAGGCCAACTATGGGTTTCAAAAGCCTGTCAAACCCTGAAAAGATGGGAACAGGCAGCAGAGGCAAAGATACAATCTAACTAAATCCTGCACGCCAGTCAGTTGCATGGACAACACAGCGTCCATGAGGGGAGATGCGTATGATCTTTGGCATTTCAATCATCTCTAGAGAAAGATTTGTTCCTGCAGCAAGCTGATCGTTGTCTTAAACGAAGTGATCAGTTTAATCTTGTTGTCCATACTCGGTTGAAGGTACAAACCACCGTGTGAGAGGTGCCTTGAGCCGATGGTTGCATTTAAATAGGCACAGAAGCAAATTAGAGATCCTGTGTAGTTTTAAGGGCGATGTTTTGATGTGATGATCTCCCTGGCGGTGACCATGCCACCAATTTAGACAGGACAGTGGTTGAGCATTATTTAGGGCAATCCACGATGTGTCGAACCCATTCCGTGCTGAGACTTTTCTGGTTCTTTCTTTCGCTTATCTTTCTTCCTCCGTCGTCTGTCTGGCTTGTTCCTTCGTTCATCCTTCTTGAGCTGCTTCCGCATCTCATTCCTCAATTGTGGTCTTCAAGTTCCTTCAGCCTTGCTGACGTCCCTGCTTCATCATGTCAAGCTTTGGGAAGTTTCTCAATCCCGCATTCTGTGCGAATAACCAAAACTTGCCATGTCCCAATCAGGCCAACAGTGCATGTGGCCGCTGCTACCTAGTTGTGGTAAGTCTCCAATTGATCTCTTCAAATCCCCGCATCGTGTCCTAACCAAGTCAACGCAGTACTGCTGCAAAGACTGCCAAAAAGAACACTGGCCCACGCACAAAGAGGATTGTAACAACGCTCTAGCGAGGGAGACATGGAAGCCAGACTGGCACACCGAAGATCGAAATCCAACTTTCTTCGAAAACCGAGACCCTTCTGATCTGGATTCAAATGCTGGCAAAATATCGTGGTGGGGAAGCATGCCGGCATTGGATTTGCTGAAACTGGATGCAAATGAAGGCCAGGATGCATCCCCCAACATGCGTGTTCTTCTCATATGTAAGAGACAGTCCGCTCTCTAACATGTTCTTTCAACTGACACAGCTCGTAATAGCATCACATGATATTCGAAACATCGTTGAAACAATCGCTCGTTTGCCAGATACGTATTCGGGCCAGTGTGAGATGGTGATGAGTGGCATCCAACCCGGGATGTTCGAACAGAATATCATTCTTCTTTTGACAGCTTTCCATTTCCCGCCAGAAGACGCCGCTCCTATCATAATTCACTTATGGTATTCAGCTTTGATACCCTTGTCGATTCTCTCAGCGCTTCGAATAAAGCTCCTGCCGCTGATTGAAGAAGTCTGCTCCGAAGCTGTACGGAAACGTCGCCGTCGGATTTTTAAACGGGTCTTGAAAAAGAACAAAGCATCCTTACATTTAGCGCTTCTGAGGGATGAGTGGGAGCGTCTTCGAACTTCTCTTCAGTGTCCTGAACGGTTTTCCCCTACCGAGGCTACCCGCAGTCGACAAAGCGTCACGTTGGCAAACAAGAAAGTAGATGAACTCCATAGGGGTTTGTACGCCCAGCCTCGGCATTGGCGTCTTGCCACGATGAAGTTCCGCCGCGATGGAATATTGTTGCCGTTCGGGTGTTCACGCAAAGAATTTGATACTCCTAACCCGTAGGTTCTTCCAGCCCCTCGTTGAAATCCCCAGTCCACTGATTACAACTAGGGCGATTTTCTGTGCTGGTCGTTCTTGGCCTATGCCAGACTCTGCAGATCCACGCATCAGCTGGAACCTCCTGGAGGTTTGCACTGGACCGTTTACAGCGAATTATCCTGCGAAAAATGATCTGTACGGTAGGCTATTCATCTACCTCCGAGAGACTCTCTTGGGTTTCTGCCGTCAACTTTCGAAGCAGGAGGTTAAAATTCGAGTTCTGTCTATCGACCCACTGAGTCTACCGGGATATCTCAAACGGCAACCCGGAGATCCAGGGTTCGATAGAATTGAGTTAATCTCATCATCTGAGCCTCTCCCCTCCCCTACTTTCTACTTTCGAGTTCAAGTGTGTTTTGAAGACAATGCTAATTCGACATAGACCTACATCACTGCAGAAAAAGACGTGCTTGGGATTGACGCCACCCTCGCCATATTTAGCCCGCTGCTGAAGCCGAAGATTCTAAACCCAAAGGCCATGCTTCTTGTCCTCTTTGTCTGTGATATTGAGGACATGTGGAGTAGGGACACACTGGACCAGGACGTCGCCCGTGCAACAAAATACCTCTCTGAACCCGAGACAACTGATGACAATGACGCCGACCTAATTAGAAATAGGAGAGCAAGCTCTTTTTTCAGCAACGTCAGCAAATCGTTCGATTTATACAAAAAGTCCACAGGGTTTGGCACACTCACAAGAAAATATGGGTTGAAGATGAGAGGCAACAACACAATTGTGGCCCACTGGCCAATGCGACCTGGAAAGAACGCACCTCAAGAGGTATTTGATATCCTGGAGGCATCCGGCGCCTCTGGCTATGAGCGGTACGTCGAGTGGGAATGGGCATGATACCTTGCAAATGCCTGTGAACTACCCAGCATTCAGCTAGCAGGTGTGCATGTATCTAATTTCTTGTCCGTCGATTCACAAATAGTATCATCATTGTTCAACTATGTGTTCATCAAGCGAGCTATCCTCTCTCCATATCCTTACAATAACCAATTTCTCCCACCCAGCCTGCATCCCACTCGACCCCGCCGTCTCAACCTGCCAACCACCCCATCCACGGATGCGATCCATGACCTGCTCGGGCCGATTCTGTTTGCAGAGCAAGACGTACGCCACGCCACGCACCGACAGCACACCGGGAATAGCATCAAGCAGCCTATCCGTGGTTTCCATACCGTCCGCTCCACCCGCATACGTCAAGGACAAAAAGTAGGAGTCATTATCGAACTTGGCAGAGCGAGACATGGCCTCTGAAACAGCAGGATCATTTTCCGCCGCAGAAGGCAGACGCGGTAGATCCTCAGTCGGGACATAAGGTGGATTGAAGAGGAGAACATCCACACTGCCGGGGCGAAGAGGTGCACACAGATCGGCTGTCAATGAAGCGATGTGAACCGATCGAGGAGATGGCTGTTGCTCTGCCTGGATGGCTGTCATAGCGGTCTTCCGTGTTGCGATGCAAGCATTGCGGTTCACATCAGTGCCTAGTGTGAGAAGATCGCGTCGGCCAAAGATATGTTGAGACTGTGCAGCTGTGAAAGCTAGCACAACGCCAGAACCTGTACCTACTTCGACGACTAGTGGTGATGTCTGGTTCTTTGGGAATCGTTCAGAGAGCCATTTTGATTCCGATGCTGATGACAATGTATCTAGAAAGAGATATGAGTCCTCCGATGGCTCGTAGATGGTGTCAAAAGACACATGTGAAGTATCTGGCGTGGGAAGCATGGAGTATATGTTTCAAGCGTTGCTTCTCGGAAATTCAAGGTTTATCGACTCTGTTTTGGAGACAGTGGGGTTATCTCGAGATTGTATGTTGAATGCGCGACTTTTCGGTTTGAGTCGACCACCAAATTCAGGAAAAAATCAAGCTCCAATCCAAATGCAATATCCAATGGGAAGCAATATCAAAAAGATCCGCAACTGGCAGAGAAGGGAAATCCAGAATCTTCAATGCCGAGACATCCCGACCCGTTGATTCGCGCGTTCTCCTCGCCGCCTTTGCCTCGAAAATCCCCGGAAATTATGTCATTTCCCCATCTTCCCTTCCCTAAAACCACAAAGATCCAACATGCGCATCGCTCAGCGTTTACTCATGGCCACGCCGGCCTCAATCGGCTCAAAGTCCAGCCTCAGCGAGGCTCTTGCTCTCCTGCCGCCGCTACAGCTTTACCGGCGTATTCTACGCGTCCATCGCAAACTCGATCCCGAGATGCGCGTCTTGGGCGATTCTTACGTGAAGAATGAGTTCCGTGCGCATCGGGGTGTGGAGAATCCGTTGCATATTGTATGTTGATTCTTGTCCTTGGTGTGGTTATCCCATATCGAAGAGAAGTGGAAGAGAAGAGGAAAGCCTTCTAGATGCAGTCGCTAACACGAGCAATGATAGATCGGGTTCTTGACTGAGTGGCAGCTATATGCGCAGAAGTTGGAGGGTGATCAGTGGGCAGGAGATAAGCTGGACCAGGCCAAGTTGGATAAGATGAGTGGTATGTTCTTGAGTGCTGGTTGAACTCTGGCTCGGGTGATCAAATTGCTAAACGTTGGGTTTCATTGCAGATCAGCAACTTGGACAACTACTCGAGCTTATGCAGGCCCTGAAGAAGGAGGGAGAAGGAGAGAGTCAATGAGTTCTCGATTGATCGTATTGGACCGAGGCTGACGCCATCACCCCGAGAGTTGGTGATGTGAACCTTCAAAATGAGGTCTCGGCTGCCAAATCAGTCTAAAATGACCCTCGAATGCAGAGCATTTTGGTCTCAAGACAGTCAGAAGTGCTTGGGAGGCTCCCGCCGGGAGATGCAGGCATCTCCCATCCTCCCACCAGCCCATATGTACATACTAGGTGTAGGAATAGAAGAGACGAAGTTTTTACTTGGTTTAACACAGTTAACGATTCAGGTCCGCGCCCAATTCATGCACTGTTATGGAGTGCGGTCTTTCCATGACCATGCCTGGGAACATTGTGAAGTGCGGAGCAACTCAGACACCTATGTTTCGCATGTCCGGGGCCATGGACGAGAACATTTCCACGCACCAAAAGCAATTCAGCCCTAGATCTATTTATCATGTGATAGCACATAACAGAGGAACAATCAATGACAAGCCAACTGTGTACTTTAGCTTCAGTGGAGAACGCCCTACCAATGACAAGCTGACTCATATAAAATCGGCTGCCGATGCCGAAATGGAGATGGAGAAGAGGACATATCAATCGTCAAATTCCCTTTTAACCACTCTCCAATTTTTCCTAGTGACATTTTTTATCACACTTCATCCATATCCTCATTCTTCTATCAACCTACAAATCTCCAAAAACCCCTCTTCCATCCACCATGCCCTCCATTCTGGAAGACCCCTCGACCCGCAATCCCCCACCAAGAGCACACACAGATGCAGCGCCGACCCTAACAGCAAGGAAAATCACCCTGCCCAAGTTCTCCTCGGCGCCAATGACACTTTATCCCATCACAGGCGGACCTCAAACTGTCCCCAAGGACCTGATCAGATTCCTACACGAGGAATTCACCACGGAGATTCTCCGCGGCGGGACATACCCGATGGAGCAGCCGATGGCACTGGACCAATTCGCAGATTATTGGTTCGGGACGTTTGCGGCTTTGGCGATATTGGACGACGAGGGTGAGGGTTTAAGGGAGGGGAGGGATTGGGAGAGGGTTTGTTTGGGCACCTTTTATATCAAGCCTAATTATCCCGGTATGGGGCTTCAAACCAACCTCCATGGGCAGCAGAAACCACACTAACTCAGATAGGCCGCTGCTCCCACATCTGCAATGCAGGCTTTCTCGCTACCACCTCTGCACGTGGCAAGGGCGTTGGACAGGCTATGGGCGAAACGTATCTGGAATATGCACCGAGACTAGTACGATCCTTCGCACTTGGCAGCCGTTGCCTCTATCGGGTATAGGACACGCGTGACTAACTCCTTTGATAGGGATACACATATTCAGTCTTCAACTTGGTCTTCGCCAATAACCCGGCCTCTATCCGCATATGGGAGAAGCTAGGGTTTAGCGTTATTGGACGGGTTCCCAAAGCCGCGCGGTTGGCGAATAGCGAGGACTTGGTGGATGCATTGATATTCGGACGTGAGCTGGGAAATTAAAATGACATGTCTCAGTTATAGTTTGAGACATCCATCTATGTTTCATATAAGGATCGCCGTTTGGAGTATATAGGATCATGTTGTTCCGAATGACATACGGCCAAGAACATATGACATGTGGCAATAATTTGCCTGAAAATGAGTCATCTCATTTACAGGACCAAAGCATGACTACATGAAACTCCCTACTCCATACAAGGAGCAAAATCCACATGGAGAAGAAACGGATGGTAATCAAAGAGACTCAAAAGAGAAAACAACTGGGAAATGAAATGACCCCCACGCTAAGACCATACCATGCAAACAATAGGGATATCACGCAAAACATGACTTGTCAAGATGATGGCTCCGCTTCACACTGACTAAAAACCGATTTGGAAACCGAGATCGAACCGATGGGGAAGAGGGGAAAATGAACAAGTGAAAAACAAACAAACAAACAAACCGAACAGGGTCGTAGAAATGTAGAAGTCGAGGGATAAGGAGGATAGAGTGAGAGAGAGGTAGAGAAGGTGATGAGGGCCATAGGCGACATAGGAGGGCGAAGGAAACGGTGCAAACTATACAACTTAGTTGTGGCGCCACCGTGGACGCGAATCCACCGGCTTTGCCTGCTCCTTCTCCGTTCGCTTAGGAAGCGGGAGTAGACTGGCTCGCCGGCCGCTAGAATGGCCTAGCGATGTACCTGGCCGTGAGGATTTTCTTGGGCTCTCCATCCCACCTGGGGCTCCTGACACACTGCGACTGAAAGTTGTGGACGGGCCCGCAAAGCTCTGCCGACTGCGAGGTGTGCTTGACATCCCTGCTGGTCGATGGAGCCCGCTGTACGGAGGTGGGTCGAGGAGCGAGGACCGCGATGGTGTGGGAGATAGCATGTTCCGATGGGGACTCCGAGAACCAAAGCGGCTCGAGACGCGACTGGCTGATCGAAAACCGCCGGAAATCGGAGATGCAGATGTCTCTCGTCGGAGAGAATTGGAGAAGGACATTGTAGATGATGGCCGGGATGTGCGGGCGACTGGTGCGGAGGACTTCCGCAAGCTCGAGTTGTAAAGGTCATTCAAGTTCGTACTGGCGTTCCAGCGCGGGCGATTAGAAATTGTAGATGGCGGCGCTGGGGTACGAGAACGAGCAGGGGTCGGTGTGAAAAAGCTTGAGGACCTGTGGGATGGGGTTGGAGACACCAAGCCCGTGGGTTGGGGAATGGAGGACTTTCGACCGGTGTGAGTCGCTGTAGCCTGCGGCAAGCTAGAATAACGACGGTTTGGGGGCATAGTCGAGCGGGCTGTGGAACTGCTGACTGAACTGTCGCGACGGCCGGAGTTGCCCATGGGGGTTGAGGCGCGCTTGCATCCGTTGCCGGCCATGACGACGGACGACGCAGGCGAGCTTCCTGGGGTCTCGATGGCACTGCCTGTGGCTGGACTGTCCACTGTGAGGATGCTGGAGATCGAGTCGCGTAGCTGGTGGCCCTTGGTAATGTGCAGGTCTTCGAGTGATGTATCCATTACCTTGGTGCTGGCCTTGAGGGCATCCGTTCGGGATGTCATGTCAGATAGCAGACGAAGAATCTCCCCGTTGACAGTCAATCGGTCGTTAATACCCTTTTGAATGATGGAGACCACACGCTCAATAGCAGGAACATAATGCATTTTCTTCGCCTCGTAGTTTTCAATGAGCTTGGTTAGAGATGAAGGGTTGTGCACCTGCATGCCAGTTTCCAGACCGTCTTGAAGCTTTCCGATGCTACGTTCAACCGATAGAAACATCTTTTGTGCCTGAGCTCCGGCATTGCGGAAAACCAGGATCCACTTGTCTTCTGCCAACTCTTTCAGGAGAGCTTCAGCATCGGTCTCAAGAACTTTGTAGCTCTTCTCCAACTGATTTCGCCGGTCCTCAATCTCCTCACATGCGCTCGGGAAAATGTTTTCAGCACGTCCTTGGAACATTGATAGTCGCATGGGCAAAAACTCCAAGGATGCCTTCAAGGGCTGCATACGAGCAAAGATAGCCATGAGGTTAGAGTGACTGGTGTCATCCTGCGGTGTTTTGATAACGGGGGTGCCAGATGTCGAGGTCAAGAGAGGCCCAATACTCAGACGGTTTTGCGTATGTCCACGGGCCTTCGCAGGAGACTCTTCCACGATCGTCTCCAGCTCATTGATGTCAAGGCCACCGCTGGTATCGCTCGTGTCCATTAACGCCTGATGTCGCTTTTCTTCCATCTCAAATATCAGCCCGCTCAAGTTGTCAATTTCCACACCCACATCGCCCAACACGTTCGACCAAAGCTCTTCCCACTCCATTGCCAATTCAACCTGTTCCTTAATGCCTTTCAGCTTTGTCTTGATCTGAGTCCAGTTTTGCAGAATGCTTTCCATCTGGCTCACAATAGTCTTTAAGTTGTCCACGTCCACGGTGGCGATGTCGTCTCGAAGTTGGACATTCTCAATAGCCCTAACGTACACATTGACCAGGCACTCGAACCGCGTGATGGCTTTATCGACTTCGTCTAGCCCTTCCCGGCCACCAGCCGCAGCCCATTCCACGTCGTCTTCAGAATCTAAGCCGTTCAGCACATCTGAGGCCTTCTTGATCCAGATTTGAATTTGCTCTGCAGCGCCGTTCAAGGCCCGCACTGCAGACAACGCCGTGGCAATGTTTTCAATGCTGGCCTCGAGCGAGGCTGGTTGTGGGAGAGGAATGGAGGTCAGCTGCGAGAGCTGGTTACTGAAGGATGCACGGGAGAAAGAGTAAATTGAGTCTGCGCGCTGCAAACCCATTGGGTTGAAATATGATTGCGAGTTGGAATTGGATGAAGAGCGCGAGCGCACGGCGTCGGCGGGAGGTGAGTCTTTAGGAGGTGGTTTCAGAGTCGACTGCTCTTCAGCGGACTGCTCTTCAGTGGACCGCTCTTCAGTGGACCGTTCCTCTCTCCGTGCGGTATCGTCGACATATTTTTCGAAGTCGGTCCGGGCATCTTGAGTATTATTGGCGGGTTGGAGGTTGGGCATGGGGGCTGCGCGCAACTGCGCAAGAACCGGCTCTGCAACAGACATGGACGTGGGTGGGCTGATCTGTTCCATGGGCTGGGCGGTCTCCGGAACCACAATGGTGGGCGGAGTGGGCAGTTCAGGACCGTCCACAACTGCTTCGGATGACTCCAGGCCTTTTCTTTGCACGTCTACGATCTCTCGGGGGGTATCTTGCTGGGGTAGCTTGACCCGTTTCAATGTGCCCCGCTTGTACTCTTTGGTTTGTCTGGGTGATATGTTCATTCGATTCCACGCCTGGCCTTTCCTCTTTACCTTGATCGAAAGGTCTTGGTGAAGATTGTCAAGCTCCTTTAGGTGCTCTTCGGGGATCCGACCGACTGCATTGGCATTCCGGTTCTGCGCTGCGGATCTATTACTGCCGTCCAGCAGCTTGACGCGAGCCGCGAGGGCGGGAGAGAGTCGGCGGAGGATCGATGTTCGGCCAGCGCCGGTCGGCTCAGCAGGGACAGATTCTTCTTCGTTGTTGTTGTTGCTGCTCCCCAAGCTCCACAGGGATGATTTGGACTTTAGGCGTCGGGAAACGGAGGCGCCGGAGTCATTTGGAGACACAGATAGCGCGGGGGTGAGCGACGGCGGCGATGTTGATGTTGTGGACGTGTCGGGGGAAGGCGTCGCGAGGTTGGTCGCAAGAGTTGAACTGTCGGCTGTGGCATGCATGGAGACAGACCCTGGGGGAGGGGGGGGGGATTAAAATAATCAAAGGACCAAAGGATATGGTTCAGACAGGGATACAAGGAATGTTTCGTCTTGTTCGGCACTCGGGAACAGGGATTGCCGTTCTCGCAGATTAGTGGCTTTTTTTGGCTGTTCAAGGGTCGGAGAAAAATGCTGCTACATGACCCAGAAACAATTGAGATTCTAAATGCAGAGTCTCATGAACTTGAGGGGGTTATCGGGCAGCAAGTGTTGAAACAGATGAAAAGAGGGATACAGTGGCCAGTATGGGCCGGTTTACTTTGCAGAATGGGGTACCTCCAACGTCATACTGCTAACTATGGGGACCGATGTACCTCTGGTATGTAATTCAAGGGGATCAGATGAAATCTTTTTCACATTTTGGATTGATTTCTTTTTTTGGCTTCATTTGGTTTCAGTTGACTTTTGCTGTTTCTACAATTCTCCGTCGGTGTGTATGTATATCAACCCAACTCCTGAACGGTTCTCTAACAATGATTACAACTGTATCCTGCACATCCAGCACAAAAAAAACTATTGCCGAAGGGAGCTAGTCCCTTCGCTGTACATTTGGATCAGCAACCGTATCGCCTAACGCGGACTGAACAACACAGCAGTAAGACACCAGGGGATGAATGTTCAAGGCTTCAGCCGGATGATGCATGTATGCGTCTATAGAATGAAACAAGAATGAAATGCATGATAAATACAATTCTCAAAGAGACCGGCAATCAAGAATCAAAAAATTACTAAAAATTAGATAGAGGCGGGCAGAATAGTCGGCGACAATTCAGGGGTATCGTATCAAGTGCCCAGAAGGATATTAAAAGGAATATAAAAAAAAAGAAGGAAATCGAGATGCAAACATGAACTTCCAACACTTCAATGCTTCAAACGTTGTCCTCAAATCAAGCCAGCACTCGGCGGTCGCCCAGGGTTAGCCGCCTGCCAATCGCGCACCAGCTCTTCCCGAACGGTTTTGCACCAAGCCAGCAGTGCAGTATCGAATTTCTCCCAAGCTGGAGGGCCACTATTTTGTACAACCCCCGTAACATCAACATCCAGCCGGAGTTCCCATCGGAGTTGGGCAGCTTTTAACCAGAACTGAAGATTCTCAGTCTGCCGATATGGCTTGGCAATGTCGAGGTGGTAAGCCGTGATCTCACCGAATGGGCGTTTTGACCTCTTGATCGCAAGGTTGTGTAACTGAACCAGGGCACGTCCGTCCCGGAACCGATCAAGAAACGCCGTGGGAAGGGAGTCACTGGCAGCCTCCTCAACCGGTTCCCAAGTCGGCAAGGAGTCACCACCAGGCAACAAACTGCGCAGGAAGGACTCCTCGCGTAAGCGCTCTCGGCCTCTCCAATCACCGGTAGCCCAGTCCCAGTTCTGCCGCTCTTGGGCTTCAAGGTCTTCTAGCTCTTTCTCGCGGGCTATCATGGCTCGCGCAGACACGAACCACCCCTGAATCCGTCCACGTTCCTCATCTCGTAGACCGCTGGCAAAATGCCGTGCAGCCCATCGTTTCAGAACTTCCAGAACATCTAACAGTTCCGAGCGGATCTCCCGTTCACTCTTTATTGATGCTAAGCGCTCTGGGTTCTCGTGGGTGGTGTAGTAGATCTTGGCTGCGCGGATTGCATTGGTAACATCATCCAGGATGCACATGCCTTGCGCTTCCTCCTTATTCATCGGGACCACCACCTGCCGGGTTTGAAGGTCGTCGGTTGTCTCGGGGACATCATCCGGAGAAAGACTAGCCCGGATGATGGGGCGAGGAGGAGGCTCTGCGCCATTTTTAATTGCCTCGATATTAGTCTCCGCCTTGTCCAGCGCGGCTGTAAGTTGTCGGCGCAAGAACATCAGATCTGGCGGAGGGGGGATGTGGTGCGTTTTGACGCTGTAGGTGCTGACTGTAGGCGGCAGCATTACCTCTGGGTCCTCGTCCTCGCATTCACCCTCCACCAGGGCCTCATCCACGTGTCGTTGATTGGGGGTGATTAGGACTTGGGGCACGTTATTCTTGTTCTTCATGTCCTTTTTCCACTCGCGGCTTCTCCCGGTCTTTCCATCCAGTAAGCCCGTTCGGGCAAAGTAGTATTGTAGGTGGGCGATACTGCCAAGACTCATGACACTATCGCGGTGGCGGGCTGATTCTGCGAACTCGGCACCAAATGCACGGGTATATCCATGGCGAGAGGATGTTACTGACACGGATGATCTGGCATCAGCGGAGGTGCTGGAGGAGGTGGAGCGGGAGGACCCGGAGGAAAATGTGCGGCCTGGAGAGGAATACGAGGAGATAGCTGCTGTTGCTGGAATAGATGGTGACGGCGAGGAGGCCCGGAAGGGTGCCACCTTAAAATCCATGGACCGTCGGGGCGTGTCCATCTTGTTTGAAGTTGAAATTTTCGGTGTGTGCCGTTTCACCGGGCCAAAATTTGTATCTGGGTTGCGTGAAGATCAATCACCACGTTCACAGTGATAAGGATTCTGCAGGAGAGTGATATGACATTAACTGTGAGGTGTGGGTGATCCACAGACGAGAAACGGCTTTTATGTACAAAGTGAATAGATTCATGAAAGGACAAATTTAATGGGACCTGCAGAACCGACGGGTGAGAAACTGCTTTTAGGGGGGGGGGTGTGGGCTTCGACTAACCGGGGACTAAAAGGGGAAGCGGGTCAACTGCCCACATGGAAGTTGAAAGAGATGAGTGTTCCATTTCCCCCCGAAATAGACCAATAAGGCCCGTGAGGCCCCTATTTTTTGCGATTTTCAATTGGAAGATGAAGCTATACGGAGTTGACACAACTTCTGTATACTTCCAGGGCCTCGAACCTGGTCCACGGTGTTCCTGACTTGCCTGGTTGGGTTTAGCTTGTGCCCCACATTCCACGGTATGATGGTTGTCTGACAGCCGTGGAACGTTGGAACCTTCCTTGGAAGAGTGGCAAATCGTAATTCGAATGTAATTTGCATGTAAATCGTAATTTGCAAGTAAAAAGTAAATCTTATGTACATGAGTCTAGTTACAACTTCAATGTTGCAAAAGAGAAGAGATGATATGCAACAACCAGTAACCCTTTGTTACCCCATTTTTCACCCGTGAAAAAAAAAATTTTTTTTCGTTGTGAATACCTCAAGGATTTACCTTTCCCCATTCAATGGTAAATATTTCTTTGCGATCCCAACCCTCTGGCTTCAGGTTATCAATGCCCTTCGTCGGGTGGCTTATACTCGGATCGATGTACTCAATCTGATAGGGATTGGGGTCGTGAGTTTGCTTGAGGTTGGCGAGGGTGTGATTAACCTCGCGGTGCTTGGCTTCGTCGGCGCGGACAAACAACAGCAGATCCCTCATTTGGCGCTGCCCCTCTGGCATTTGCCAGTACTTGATCGCAATCTCGGGTGCATCGAGATCCTTCCACTCCGGGAGCTTGCCGGTCTCTAATTCCTCAATTGCACGGCTGTAGGTAATGACAGCCTCCTCCTCAAGGTATCCGACAAATCTGTGGCAGATACGTGGGGAGATCAGGTATGCCAGGAAGAATCCATTGAAGAAGACACCCTGTGCCCCGATAACCATCAACCGCATGAACCAGCCTGGCTCGGCCAGTTTCAGGAAGGTAAGGAGGTGCATGCGTTCGTTGAACGCTTCTTCAAGCAGGGTTTCAATCCTAGATCCAAGGACGTGGGTTAGCATTGAAGGTGACGATTTCGGCTTGTGCAAGTGACTTTACCATCCATTATCCCGCTTCATCTTGCGAAGACTACGGAGATGTCGCAGCATGCCGCCCACCATCCCGGGAACACCGGCCACACTTTCCAAGAAGATAAACCGATTGAGCCATTTGTGCTCGGTCATTTGGAAGATACCCGAGAGTTCCTGGCCCGGCTTGGGATGCCTGTATCCTGTCGCCGTGTCCATGCCCCATCGGAACATCCGTACAGTTCCTAGGGCAACCCAGTCGGCCCAATTTGAAGCTTGTCTGTGGGCGACGCGAATTTTTCGCATTTGCGATTCGGTGTACCTGGCATACAGTCAAATTTTGGCTGAGATCGAGGGGCTTTGAAGAGAACGTACACTGGATGCACCCATGCCGTTTGCACCTCTTTGACATTTGGAGTCTTTGGTGGTGGGAAATAGTCTGTGATCTGGTTCTGGGGTGTTGACGAAATAAGGCGTTTGGATATAAGGCTGAATGTCGATGTGCGCTTGCTCTCGCCGAATGCAGGAGTGATAGTTGTTGCTGCAATGCCCGAGTAAGTTCGGACCGCAAGGTGCAGGTACTGCGGCTTTGCTGCAGCCCGCCAGGGAGCTCTCGCTGATCGAGTATTCATGGTGTAGCCTACGAGAGTGAATTAAGGAGTGGTCACGATTGAAGGTGATAAAGATATTAAAGATGTTGACGGGATTGAAGGTGATAAAGATGATGAGGTCAAGAAGAATCTGAAAGTAATTTAGAAGTTTAGATGAAGTGTTGGCTGTAATTGTCGAGAGATGGTGACTCCCATATTTAAGGCTTTCCAATCCACGCCATCCTTTGGACCCGACTAAGACCAGGGACAGTTGACAAGAAGAAAAAAAAGCCGTCGAAGAAAAAGCCCCGGAAAAGATTTGGTTGAACTCTTGGAGATTGAAATTGATGACATTCCGTATACTTCATTTCCCAGGCACCTAGATGACTTCCATCAACCTTTCATAAGATCGCCGACCCCTCAAGATCATATCACTATTGTGTTGCTGGAACAAGAAGCGACTACACCAGCCTTCCCATTATCATTGTACAATATTCACCTGTTCTACATCCCCAACACAACTCTTGCCTCCCAAAACGGTCAAGCCCTTGCTGGCAGGTGATTTCGGGAGGAACCGGGAACTTCTGACTCAGCCTGTCGCCGTTTGTATTGAATCCCGAGAAATCTTCTCAACAGAGTCAGGTTGAGGTCGTTTTCCTGCTCTCGGGATCTTTGAATATCTCTATTTCTATCTCGGTGAGCAGCTTGGTAATCCGAAAAAGAAGATTTGTCCGTTTCCTGCCGATCAAGGCACATCGCAATTGCGTACCTTACGCTTATTCTCGGCAAGATCTATAATTTCAGATTGATGTATATACAAAGAGCCTATCAAGTGTCAGTGCCCGTGAATATCTGCCAGCCGTAGAAAAATCTTTGTCATACTCCTTTACTGTGTTTGGTATCCATCGGTTACCTATCCTCTGTCTACCTATACTCTCTTTCAAGGTAAGAACCGAGAAAAAGACATGGGGCTGAAAGCTGATAGCTCGGATGTTTCTCCTCTATCATCAACTCTCCTCTCTGCATCGCTAATCCATGAATCTCTCTCACTTCCATCTTTCTTCACCTTCCATAATTTTACTTTTCATTGTTGTCCCAATGCTTTGCGTGATTCTGGCGCCGTTGGTCCTTGCTACAGTAGCCAAACTACTCAACTCCAGCTGTCTGATATGGCAGGACATCTGTTTTCAGGAACCATGGTGCCACATGGTCGAAAGTCTGAGTGCCCTCCAGGGCTGGCTGGCAGTGACTTGTGAATTAGAATATTGGCCGAGGTATTTCACACATTACTCTCTATGCAGCTAGGGAATAATCCCGCTCTACGGTGAATCACAAAGGACGAAGCTTTCTTGGCGCAATGAGGTAGAAGAATCTGGCTTGCGATGACCTCGACTTGGGTTCTGATTGACTGAGATCGAGCGAAAAGAAGTCAACTCCTAGTTCCCCGGCTTAAACATGGACTCTGCTGTTCGCATCACGGCAAACCCTTCCTCGTCATCCCGCACATCCAGGTTGCACTTCTCCAGCTTCACTACATGAGCCATGGAAGGACCTTTGTCGATGCATTGAAGGAACTTCTGCACTTTTTCGTTACTTCCCTGGGCCTCGCCTTCGACCTGATAAGATCCAAAGATCCAGTAAGCGCCACGTCTGAAGACACGACAGAGATCACTCACCCTTCCGCAAGTAGTATTCCTGACCCAGCCCTTGAGCTCACCAACCTTGGCACATTTTTGGGTGAAGTCTCTGTAGTGCGCGACAGGTAGGCCCTGGTTAATCGACAATGATGTCATCTGTTGAGAAGGGGGAGATGTTTCCTACCGGAAGCCGACACCTAGGAGTTTATATCAGTGACAGAGTGAATGGTAGTAGTTGAAGATTCTGAACGCGTCATGAGGTTTTACCCACCTTGAACGGTGCCATGGACTTTGAACGCAACCTGGAGCAGATAGAATATCAGCAGAGAACTTGTGGTTGTTGCCGAGCTATGGGTTGGTGATATGCATAGCAAAAAGACTGAACAGGATATACAGCAAAGAACCTACTCGTATGTTTGACATTGGGTATGAAAAATGGTGTTTTCGTTGAAGAGTTGGAAGAGGTAGAGTTGAAGTGTACACAAGGCTGATGTCAAGCCCCGAACACACTGCGGGTGCAACAAAACGGTTTACAATCCTTCTTTTTGAGAGAGAGGCAAGGTTCGAAAGATGCACCCTCAATTTAGATCGATTGTTATTCTATAGCTCTTCTCTACTTGATGTTTCAAGTCGATTTTGAAGACATGCATGTCATTTGTAAATCTCGTGGACTCAATTCCTCATCACCTACACGGTATTGCTTGGGGCTAGCCCCCCCCCCCCCCCCCCCCCGGAAACTGTGATGCTCACCCTCAAGGGTCCCCATTAATATCGTTTAAGCAAGATTTAGTACTCAATATCGAAAACGGGATCTCCGTTTATTAGCTAGGAGAGGGAGAAGTGAGCCTTGCCAGGTTGGCTGTACCCAATGTGAGATGGGCGAGTGCTGATTGGGCCTAATCATCTACAACCTTGCAAGGGTACGGAGTAGACCATTCTTCATTAATTTTGAGGTCAAATGAAATTTTTTTTCTTAATTTGGGTTTAATCTTGTAAACTAAATAGTTCCGTGTCGAGATAGGGCACACATCTGTATGTAGATGTGGCCACGCGGTCCCTTGGCCCCTGAATACAACATGGAATCTCAACGGTCTGCCAACTTCAACTTCTCCAAACCTGCGCCGGACATGCCAGCGTTATAAAATGCCCTCCATTCTCGCCTGGCTTCGGCGGGTCTACTCGCTAGACACCCTTGACACTCGCTTTACCTCCTCCGCAACCCCTGCCCACACCAACACGCGACCTTCCGCCAAAGATGCCCGCAATGCAACCGCTCAGGGCGCGTCATCTTCACTTTGGCGCACCCCGGAATTTTTGGTTTACTACTTGTTCTTTATTATCCTTGTCCCTTTGATGTTCAAGACGATCATCAATGTCTCAAAAGGTGAGTACAAACCAGAGAAAAACCTGGAACTTGAAACTCTGACTCGAGATCAACGTCACAGAAAGCCACCCAACCTACTCCACATACTCTCACCTTTTATCACCCGGTTGGATCCCTGGCCGTCAGGTCGTAAGTGCGAAAACACGCAGCGTTCACCTATCCACGGCCATGAGGCCAGTTCCGACTGACATGATTGCTCCTATGCCCTCAGGACAACTCCGATGCGCAATATGAAAGCTTTCGCAACAATATTCCTGCCCTCCTACTCCTCCTAATCGCCCATCCGTTGGCTCGCCGTGTTTATCGGTTGTACATGAACCGCGCGAACGTTGAAACAAAGCGATCGAGCCATTCCGTGATCGGTGCGGGCGAGGCGCAACTTGAACAGCGAATGCGCTTCGACTTTTGGTTTGGACTGATCTTCATTATAGGGCTTCATGGAGTGTCCGCCTTGAAAGTGTTGTTGATTCTACTTTTCAACTTCCGAATCGGCAAGGATGTTCCTCGTGCCTACGTGCCTGCCGCTACATGGATCTTCAACATCGGCATCTTGTTTGCCAACGAACTCAGCGGCGGTTACTCCCTTGAGCGAATTGCGAAGGCGTTCGCTTCAGGCTCTGGGGCCTCAGAAGATGGCGCCGACGTGCTAGTCCAATGGGGTCAGACTCTAGATAGTCTAGGGGGACTGATGCCGCGATGGGAGGTCCTTTTCAAGGTCGCGGTGTTGCGCCTCATCAGTTTCAACATGGACAAATATTGGAGTATAGACTACCTTGCGGCAAGCCCGATTGAAGTAAGCCTTTCCATGTTCGATGAGCCACTCATCCCCACATGGCAATCAGACTGACCGAGTTCCACAAGAAGAAGCAACTAGATCCTACGACCCTATCCGATCGTGACCGGGTCAGAATCCCCGCAGAACCAACCGCTTTTACATTCCGCAACTACATCGCCTATATGCTCTACTCACCGTTGTATCTGGCTGGTCCGATCTTGACATTCAATGACTACGTATCCCAACAGCGATACACTGCGGCGTCAGTCACTCGAGCTCGCATCACGATGTACGCCGTTCGTTTTGGACTCACTCTGCTCTGCATGGAGCTTATTCTTCACTACATTTATGCGGTAGCAATCTCCAAAGCTAACCCAGACTGGTCCGCCTTCACTCCGGGGCAACTGAGTATGCTCGCCTTCTTCAACTTGCACATAATCTGGCTGAAACTCCTCATCCCCTGGCGATTCTTCCGTCTCTGGGCCCTCATAGACGGGATTGACCCACCAGAGAACATGGTCCGCTGCATGTCCAACAACTACTCTGCTTTGGCCTTTTGGCGTGGCTGGCACCGTTCATACAACCGCTGGATCGTCCGCTACATCTACATCCCACTGGGCGGTGGTGGTGGACGGCGGCCCCCCGGAGCACCCAAACCAGTCTCACCCCCCCGGTCCATCTTCGTGGGCAAGTTCCTACAAATCCGCAACTTCCTGCTAGTCTTCACCTTCGTCGCCTTGTGGCACGATATCAACCTCCGCTTGCTCATGTGGGGTTGGCTCATTACTCTCTTCGTTCTACCAGAAGTCTTGGGCGGCATGCTTTTCCCAGCCCACCGCTGGCGCTCGCATCCCACTGCGTACCGTGTTTTGTGTGGCGTTGGCTCTGTTGGAAACGTCCTCATGATGATTATCGCAAACTTGGTCGGCTTTGCATTGGGTTTAGATGGATTAAAGGATCTGCTTGCCAACCTAACAGGCTCCTACTCTGGGCTAGCGTACATGATTTCCTGTTGCGTGGTACTTTTTGTCGGCGTACAGGTTATGTTTGAGGTGCGCGAAGACGAGCTTCGCGCAGGCATCAACCTGAAATGTTGAGCCGTTCTCCATTTTTTCACCTCTATAAACCGCAGAGTTTACAGCACTGAATTCGTCTAAAAGAGCTCTTGGCTGTAAGGAACAATGTACACATCTTTAATTTGAGATGTCACATGAACATTTGTATTGATGATTGTACAGTTTTTGGTATCAATTCATAAAAGTCATCAGTAGAACAAGGCCAGACCAAGCTTCTTAGGAGTACACATACACTAGCACACACCAATCCCCTAGAAGAAAGCACCACACCTCGAATCCTCATGAACCTTGTAGCAATCCAAGCCACAAGTCCTCAAATGACAACTCTTGCACCGAATCTTCCCCCAGTATCCACACATGCAACAAAAGTGCCGTCCCGGCCGCCCCGACGCCAGCGGTTTCGCCCGCGACGCATGGTAAGAAAGCGGCGGCTCCGCCAGCAGCCTCTGCATAAGCCGATCAGAAGGCACAGGCGGCGCATACGAGCGCAGCAAGGGATCATTATCATATTCCGACTTGATAAGTTTCGGCTTCCGCAGCGGCTCATCATCAACATCCGTTTCCGCATCCGTAGTCTCCTGCGCAGGCGTCGACGCACCAGTCGGCGTACCCGCCATAGCCGCCGACGGACGTTTGATGCCTGCCGTGCTGGCCGGTGTCGCGCTGCGGCGCGCAGCAGCCTTGCCTCCCTTGGCCGCAACGAGGTTCGCGCCTCCTGCGCCCTGCATACCTGCTATACCCCCGCTGCCAGATGCTATTGCCGCTTCTTCGTCGTCGAGGTGGTTCCGGAAGGTCTTTTGGGATTGGAGGATGCGGCGGACGTTCGAGGTGGTCTTTGCTCTTGTGCCGCGTGCGCCGGCTTCGCGGGCTTGTTTCACTGGTGCGGGGATGGTGACGTCGCGCTGGTTCTCGCGGTCTAGTTCGGCAATGTGGCGGGCGATTGCGTTCGCTTGTCGTGAGGAAATATCGCCGCCTTTGCCGGCGTCGCGGATGCCGCGTTTGCGGCCTAGGGTTGGGGCCATCGCTTGGGTGGGGTCGAAGCCCCGGGCTGGGGCGTAGGACCAGCCTGGTGTGGCTGTTGATGTGTCGGAGACGAGTTCGACGCGGAACATTTTGAAGTTGCAGGTTGCGTGGTGTTTTGGTGATGATGCGGAAGTGGATGATGGCCTCGGGGAGTTTGTTGGAGATCATAGAATGTTTGTCTTGTTTGCAGCGAATCGGGGGTGTAGAGAGCACTATGTACATTGTATAGAGCTGAAAAGTTTAGTTGGTGAACTATTTGGGAAAAGAAAGGCTGAAATTCCAAAAAAGCTGGAACTAATTTCATGCAAAAAAAACAAAACAAAAAACTAATAGCCATGCCCTGGCCATCAGAGAGTGAGGATGAGCATCATGTCCAGGGTTGACAAGCTTCACGCACAGAAAACAAATGCACCCAACACCTCAAAGCCATAATAAATACACAGATGAAACATCCTGAAAAGCCACTTATTTCTTTTTGTTCAGCTGATCAACTCTGGACTCCAGTTCTGTAATATACGACTGGAGCTTAATGGTAGCCTTTTGAAGTGCCTGTGAAGGGGACAAATAGTTCAGCAAAGGTCAAAATCCGAAGAAGAAATAGGGAGTTTCCTCTTCGAGACTCGGTATTTGAGAAGCTATCAACATACCGAAATGTCATCAGACAACATCTCATTGGCCAGTCGGTACTCAGATAGGATGTAATAGTACACCGACGCGCCGGCGGCAACAGATCCAGTCAAGAACCCAAAGACACTATCGGATGTTAGCAAGAGTACCTAGAAACTCGTGGCCACTTGACATTGAGTGTCATCGAAATAGGGGGATTCCTCGTACCCTCCGCGGAAAGCTCCCACGGGCTTGCTTGATGGTAGCGGCATGGCGGACTCCCAGTGGGCACGGGAGGATGAGAAGGACCGGATGCCGAGGCGTCCGCGCAAAGGGAGAAAGATCCTTGTGCCAATAGGCATATTGACAATTTAATTTCAAAATTTAGAGGGGAGATTTAGGGATTGTTTGGTGGAAGACGGTGGCAAAGGAAGTTCGTTGGAAGTGACGTTGATGAAATGCGGAGGCCCGGGCGGCTCGGAACTTGGAGACCTGAGGCCTTTTATGTATAAAGGGAGAATAAAAGGGAGACTACAGCCATACAGAAAGATCCTTGGAATCGCTTGAATGTAACATCTAGTAAGAATGCTAAAAGTACATAATTTATCGCGTCTCTTAATTGGCCATTGTACTCTCGTTGAAGAGATCCGCCAACAGGTCGTCTCGGCACACTGTCAAATCTACGCTGCCCATGCCGTACGTACTCTCAAACACATAGATACTCAACCGAGCGAAGAATGGTCGTAGGACCCGCTCAACTATATCATCCTTGGCTGTCTCTCGGATCCAGTCTGAGATGAGCCATGGCCGCTTAAGACCACTGTGGGTCTGGGCCTCGTTGGTCTCTGTGGGGATAGTGGGTGAGCCTGCACCGCGTGGACCAAAAGTCTGAGAAATTTCATCTGCCAGAGCAATGGGCTCCCAGCGGTCAGGCGGATAGACCGCATCAATCGTGTCGGTTACGAAAAGCCATTCAAGGAGCTGGAAGTCGTCTGGGGTGAGGACAAGCAGTACGTCGAGCAGCTTGCATGCTTGAAGCAGCGAATAAGAGTTGTAGACTTCCGGCTGGGAGCCTTGGGGTACTGCAGAGATGGCTTCTTGCAGTTCTGTGTTGATCAGGGGCCAGAATGGCGCCATGGCAGAGGCAGAAGACTTGAGCGCGACTGCTCGAAGAACCATGAACACTTCCGCTCGAGTGGCAGAAGATGGCGACGAGGCGCTAGTTGCCGCAAGAAGATCTTCCAGTTTCTGAAGCAATGCTGGCAATTCACCAACAAAGTAATCATCACTAGCGGAAAGCAGGAGTAGCGCGATTCGCCGGAGGTTGAGCTGCGCTTTGCGATCAGCTTCTAACCGAGCTGCAGAGGCTCCTACGCCGAACATAATGCCCGCTGAGCTTGGTGGTGGAAGGCGGACAAGAAATTCGGATAGCCTTTCCTTGTCGGCGAGAACCCACTGGCGCAGCAGGTCTATCCAACTGTCCTTCACCAATTCCAAATGCAATCCAAAGAATCGGGCATCATGGAATGCGTCGGATATGTCCTTCTTCCACAGTTTCGCCGCAGCTGGTACTTTAGCCATTTGCTGTAGAAGAACCATGACATTACGGTTGAGATTGTTAGGGAACAGACGTGACCGAATGAGAGGGCCAACCACATTAGTCGAGACACTGGTAATGGCGGTATTGATCCGATCTGAATCACCTAGTGTCGTGATGAACGACGGCATAGAAACCGCTAGAATGCTCAGCATATCATCGGGTCCAGTATGAGTGACCGAGGTACGATCATGATCCACCGAAGATCTTGCCATAGGCCCAGTGTCATGACTGAGGCCCAGGGGCTTGCTGGTAAAGACCGCAGTAAGGAGTCGTAGAAGGACATCCTGCGGTAGAATTGTTAGTGACAATGATAAATCCAGCAGTGAATACACATACTCCAAGTTCCTTTCGCATACGGCGGTCTTCACCGAAGGTTGTATTCTCCAATTTCACCCCTAAAATAGCCGCGAATTCAATCAGACGTGGAAGAATCTGCCGGTGCGGGAATGGGTTGCTAAGAACATCGCGCAAGAAAGTTGTGCAGTCTGTCCAAATCTCGTCAAGGACATCGTCGTCCAGTGAGCGGGCATAAGTAACCAAAAAGCTAGCAAGCTCGGACTCAGAAAGATTGGATGTCAACGAAGACTTCCGGCTAGGATCCAGGGCACTAGGATTAGTGCGAGTGTAGATCGCATTGAAAATGGCAGGAATTGTGATTTTTGGGCTTGACCCATCGAGTGTATGAAGGAGATTAAAAATTAGTGACGCTATCTCCTTGTCAGCCTTGGTCCACATTTCCACCAAGGTTTCAAGGCACTCAAGTGCCTCTGCGGTGAAAAAGTGCTCTAAGATCCGCCGTGAGCGGTTTCTCATCCGCAAAGAGGTGTACTGAAATGAGGCTAGAGATTCGCAATCGGGGAGAGAGTTGCTGTGATCTCCTGCACCCCACGCCCAGATAGAGAAGCACAAACGAACGGCATCTTGGAAACAGAGAAGAACAGTCAAGCGGTCGTTGGCGGTATTTGGGCGACCTTGTCCGCCTTCCGAATTGAATACCCCGGACACCATGTTTCCGAAGAAGCCCTGGGCTTGGTCAGGGGTCTTGACTGTTGGAACATTGGATTCTTCCACAATGAGACGTTCGTGGGCATTTGCGATGCAGGTCTCGAGACCAGTCAGAAGGGCAATGGTGACATGCTCAGAACGGTCCTGCGGCCAATCCTCTGTTTGCTGGAAAGACAGCTGAAGTCTACCATATGATGCTCGGATTTCCCTGCATAAACATTCCACGAGCATCAATAGGATCTGGAATATGGAGCCTGAGTAAAGAGGGAGCACCTCACATAGCAAGACTATCCACTTGTCCACAATTCCTCGGGATTTAGTCGAGCTAATGCCCTTTATAAGACAATCAAGAAGCCGCTCTGGCGGCTGCGGTAGCTGCGTTAGCAGTTGTCTCAGGTCCCCCTTTTCACTGGTGAACGACAAGATCGAAGGACTGGTCAGCCTATCTTGGGAGGCAGCTCGTAAATGTTTCGGCCGAGGTGGCGGTGGTGGTAGATACACTTGCGCAAATCGCACCTTCAATGCAGCAAGGAGTGTGTCGATCAGTGCACCCTGAACCGCGATACTACCTCCCTCAGAGGATACAAGAAGGCGCTCGACCAAAAAATCATCAATGCCAGACTCCACTAGTTCCTCCGCTCTGGGTCCAAGAAGAAGTTGCCGCATGAGCTGGAGTGCGTCCTTGTGTAGTCGTTCTCCATCTAGACTAACTTCCATAGGAGCTGGGGATAGTGCGCTGGCGATTCGAAGAGTTGCATCAAACATGGCGGAATGGAGGCTTTTGAAGTCTGCAGTTTCTATTCAAGGATCCATATCAGCAACAATTTTTTCGTGGGAAAACAAATCACCTACCTTCGGGTTTGGACGTTTCAAGGCGCTTCTCGTTGCCCAGCACATGTGTAAGAAGTGCGATCCATCCATTGTGCGAGAGCGCGGATATTATGTTTGAGGCTGTCTGTAACAGATAGTCACACTCCTTATAGTCATCCGGGGAAATTGAATATATTTCTTTATTCTTCTCGCCGATTTCATCAGGTTCAGAAAGCTCATCAAGATTCGAGATGACAACATGGAAAACCCTGGTAAAATATTAGATGTAGATAATAGTTTGGGATGAGGAGCCGACTTACTTGTGGATAGATGGTAAGTCTTGCAGCCATAGTTGAACGCTCTGCGAACTGTCACTTGACTCTTGGGAGAGAAGATCGAGGACAATGAAAAGAGGGCGCTCGAGCATAGAGCATTGATAAGAGAACAGGGTCCCTCCAACCTCAAGCACTTGCTTTGGCGGCTGCTCGTGTGTGTTATGATGACTGTGGTTCCACAAGACATAGAATCGCTCAGCTTGTTGCTCTGACGAAAGGTGGCGGGATGCTGCATTTGACACATTGACCATTAAAGCTGCCAAAGACGCCTCGACGAGGTGATCAATCCAAGAGACCGAGTGCAGGAGCCATAAGCAGCGGACGGCTTCCACGTGAAACTTTGGACTAAGGGGTGATAGGTACCACCAAAGCTGGTTGACAAGAGGGGCAATTAGATCACAAGCATCCTCATAGCTGATATAGAACCCAGGAGTCTGGATGAAAAACAGGCTCGTCACTGTCGAAGCAATAGTCGATATGACACAGAAGGAGGCGGTTGTTGGCTTGTCCTTCCCTAAGCATAGTCGCCGAGAGAGCGCTCCATACAGTCTTCGGTCTCGTAGAACGCGGGACTTTGGAAGCTTCTTCAGCAAAGTCACAAGAATATCGAGTGGTTCATGAATAGATGAGTTCCCATCGCGGCTTTCTAGAGCGGCGATAGCTAGTTCATGAGCTTCTCGAATGATCATTTCGCCAAGATTCTTAGGGGTATAGGGAAGAGGCGGAAGCTCCAGACTAGTTCTGCTCTGTTCATAGAAACTGTGGACGGTTTTCAAAATATCCGTACCACGGCCCTTTGTGTCGTTGCCAGCAGTCTTTTCAGAGCCTGTTTTTTTGAAGAACGCCCGCTCTGTGAGTAAAGCAGTCAACGGTTTGAGGACTTTGTTCAATGCGGAGGTCACAGCCTGTTTGCTGGCAGTGTTCTTCTTGGATGAAATATCTCTCAGCTTCACAAGCACAGACAATGCCAGCAGAGGCACATGAATCTGAACCATGTCTTCCTCACGCACATTGAAATTCTCAATGATAAATTGTGCAAGATCCAAGTCACGCAAAACCCGGTCGCCATCAACATCTGCGTCAAAAGACCGATAATCAACCAGACCCATAAGCTCGGAGAATATCACACCACTTTCAACGCCATCAAAGAAGGCGCTTGCACTGCGGAAAACCTCTTCAAAGTGGCTCTCGGGGGCTGTGGATTCAAATGCCTGAACACTGCGTATAGTGGGCAAGAAAACTGCAGGGACAATGTATCCACCAATTTCCCAGCGATCCATTAGCGATAAAGCTATGCGAAATGGCTTGGTTCTATCGGAAGGAATGCATGGCGCCTGTTTGATCATGTCCAGTAGACCAGTGACCAATGGCTGTAAGCCTACCCGGCTGAAGTATTGTGATTGTGTGAGTTCCTTTCCATCAACAGAGACAGATCGAGTGGTTTCCGATGAGAATTTTCGATCATCCATTGAAGAGCTATCGTTTGGAGAGTCTGGTCCTAAGAACCAAGCCCAGAGTCGGCGGTTCAAGCTCATGTCTCGCCGAATGACCACCCCAACAGCTGCAATTACCAAGGTTCGAAGATCACTACCCGCAATTTTATTTTGCAAAATCGGAGAGCTAAGTGGAAGGTGGGTGACAAGAAGATCGAGGAAGTTACGTTGAACAAGGAGCTGGTCGTCAGATAAGCCTGATGCAACACATCGAATCAAGAGGCCAGGCTCCGGTAAAATAACAGAGTCTGCTGCGGCCAGTATCTCTGGTGGTATATTCTGCGGATCGTTCTCACCAGCCGTGCTCAGTCGACGATCTGCGATACCTAGCTTCGGGAGGTAGCGGTTCAAGTAGGCGAGGACGCCAAGACGTCGACTGGGGTTCGTGATAGATGCGAGAAAGAGGCATTGCCAGAAATACTGCCCAGATGCCCCAGCCTCAGACGTCCTTTGAGTTTCAAGTTGTCTAGCGGCATCTCGCAGTTTATTAATTGTGCGTAGCGTTAGCTCAAAATCATCACTCGTCTCCTCTTCAAGACCAGGAAGTAGGGCTAAGATGATTGCTTTCAAGGCGGGACGGATAGCCCATGGTTCCAGATCAACGATATATCCCTCTATCAAAGATAGAAACAAGGGGCGGACAGTAAGAGATGCGAAAGTCAACGTTGGCGCAAGGCCAGGGAGATACAAAGGCAGGTCGTGCGATAATCCCTCGAGCTAGTTGTAAATAGATGCATCAGCACGCACATTGCTAGCCTTTCAGGTGGCCACCCATACCTTGATCAATCCAAAGATGTATGCGTAGACTTCGAGGGTCTTTTGGTGCACGCCTGATGGCAACGATGGGTTCAAGCACTGGGCGAGTCGCTTTGACACTAACACTTTGTGAGGGACGACAGGTTGATCGGGAGGGTGGGTTTGGAGTGCCTAAAGATTTAAAATCAGCAATTCTGGAGGGCAGCGAAACTAATTCGGGCGAGCTCACTTTTAACAGCCGACCGAGAAATGAGATATAGTCAGCCCATTCTTGGAGAGCGTTGTCGAAGAGCGAAAGCGCTCGTTCAACACTAGACGCATATCGGCGATAGTTCTTGTCTTTTTTCAGAGAACCTAAAACCATCAGATACAATCGGACACAGTCCTCTCGTACAATTCTTAGGGTGGGCACAAACCTTCTCTGCCTTGTAGACGGGTGCGCGTCAAGGAGCTCTCGGAGCTTGCGGGGGAGTTCGACCTCGGAAAGGCACTGGGATCAAGGCTCATGATGCCAACGACGAACGTAAATTTGGGTTGAAAGCTTTGAACTACCCTCCGTCATATTTAGGACATCAAAGATGACCCTGTCGGAAATGGAGTTGGCGGTTGAATGTTGGCCAGAAGCCACGCAGCGCAGGCGGCCACGTTCAATTGTTTTGTTCCGCCTTGGGGTAGCTCCGACTCGCCGTCAACGTCCAGCAACTGTCAAATCGACAATCACCACTCAACAAGGTATCCATATATTTGCAATGAACTATGAGCATTAAATGAGCTGAAGACCCGCGACGAGTGACCGCGTCAAAAAGCGCATGCCTGCAGCGGGGATGAATACACAGGGAGACCCAAATACCGATGGCGAACAGCCTGTCGAAACCTCCAAGCAACCGTATCTTTCTAGCTCTACAACCCCAGATCACGATGAGAACAGTGACAGCTCAGAGGGAGAGCGGCCACCTTTACCCCCGCGACCAAATAAATTGAGTCTATTGAACGATGAAACGGGCCCCCGGGCAGCTCTGCAGGCAGAGGCAACGACGGCTATCTCAAGAACCGATACCGAGACACAATTACTGGAAGCTGTCGACAGCCCATACTCTGCCCTGGCTGTTCGCAGTCTGACCCGGGGTCCAAAGGCCAGGGCGAGCCTCAGCCAATTGGCGAGCCCGCGGGGTAGCGAAGCTGGTGACTCCGCTAGCATTAGAAGCTCAATCCCAAATGGTGATTTCGGGGATGTTGAAGCGCTTTTCGTGGATTTTGCTGCCACAGTGCCTGTTAGTCAAAGACAAGGTGCTACCGGTCTACTTGACTTCCCTGAATTTGCGGCCGACGATATAGATGATGATGGAATTCAAAGCGAGTTTGAAGCAGTTGGTGAACTCAACGAGGAAGGTGATAACGAAGGTTAGTGTCAATTATTTTTTTCCTTGTTCCAAACTAATGACGCATAACAGAACTGCTACTCCAGCGGTGGAAAGCAAAGCGCAAGCACTATGTGATCCTATCTGCCGCCGGTAAGCCGATTTGGACAAGGCATGGCGACAGCGGCCTAATATCTGGCTATGTCGGGGTTATTCAAACCATTATTTCATTTTATGAAGAAGCAAATGATCATCTACGAGGTTTCTCTGCTGGTGACACTAGGTTTGTTGTATTGACACGGGGATCTTTACACCTTGTTGCAATCAGCCGTATGATGGAGAGTGACAATCAGCTTCGGCTTCAACTGGAAGCATTGTATATGCAGATCTTATCTACATTAACACTACCGTCTTTGACTCATCTCTTCTCTGTGCGGCCTTCTACTGATCTATCACGGCCCTTGCAGGGTTCGGAGTCCCTTCTATCATCTCTGGCAGACAGTTTCACGCGAGGGTCTCCATCGACGTTGTTATCGGCTTTGGAGTGTCTAAAAATCCGCAAAAAACACCGACAAGCCATCAACAATGCACTTCTTAAAACTAAAGCTAGCACTCTTCTATATGGTTTGCTTGTGGCCGGTGGACGACTCGTCAGTGTTGTCCGACCGAAGAAGCACTCCTTACATCCAGGCGATCTACAGCTCTTATTCAACATGATTTTCGAAGCCGACGGAGTTAAAGCTGGCGGTGGAGAATGTTGGATTCCCGTCTGCTTGCCTGGCTTCAACAGCAGCGGCTATCTCTACATGTATGTGAGCTTTCTCGACATTCGTGGCGAGATCGAACATAGTGCAGAGATCACCAAAGACGAGTCTGTTGCCATCGTTCTTATCAGTCCCGACAAAGAGGCTTTCTTTGAGATGCAAGGAATGCGTGATGCTCTTTTGGAGGTGGGATTGAACAATTCTGCTCGATTGAATATAGTATGTGGTACTAACGAGGCAATAGCAAATGGAAAAAAACGGCAGTCTGAAGGAGATCAAAACGGCAATTGACAATGGCCGACCCGCAACTACTGATATAGTTCCTGGGACTGTCCTCCATCATTTCCTTTACAAATCGCGCGCCAACGTACAATTCACCATGTCATCGTATGCCCCTGAGTTCTCCTCTGTGACGCGGCGACGAAGGTGAGCAATACCCCCCTCCGCTATTTGGGAATGCTTGTAATAAGAAATGATTCTGATTGTGCCTGTAGATTGATGTCGATGTACAACAACTTGCACGCGAGCATCCACGCCAAGAATACCCACGTCAAAGTCCATCACTGTGTTTCACGGTCAGCCACTTCATTTGGATGGGTAACCCCTGTGTTCGAATTCTATTGTATCGCTGAGCCAAACACTAATCGAAATGCACTTGCCCAAAGCGCTAGCAAGATAGCTCAGTGGGTGCAACGTGAAGAAGAGAGGTTATTCATTATTGGCGGCGCGGTACGTACTTTTTATCTCTGTGGTTATTCTACCAAAAGAGGCCAAACTGATCTTATCAAGGTTTTCTAATGTCTTCCGATCTTTTCGCACTCAGGCAACGAAGAAAGTTCTCTGTATATACCATCTCGTGATTTATTATACCCCAATGCTACGTCCACCCCAACCCCACCTACTCGTTTCAACGAATCTTAGCCTACCTCTCTCCCATAGGATGGGAAAGAAAAAGGGAAAAAAAAAGATGATGGTGACAGTGGGGTTCGAACCCACGCCTCTTTCGAGACCTGAAGTCTCACTAGTTAAAGTGACTTAAGTCTGTCTACGATTAGTATAAATTCCAAAACGTGCACGAAGATGCTAACTAACCAGGCGCCTTAGACCCACTCGGCCATATCACCGCATATTCAAATATTCTGAAGGAGATTTAATTAGTTCCAAAATGGGGAGGAAAAGGCACGATTTGCTATATGCTGTATTGAGTGGTTTTTGCACTGTTTACACTATTTGCGCTGCGGAGTTTGCTCTGTAAGCCTTGTCTTTTAGCAGAAATCTAAGGGTCCGGCAAAGAAAGTCTTGGACTCAGAGGCCATCTGGCAACTCGCTAAACAGCACGGGGCGCGACTGGACGCCGCCCGTCCGGCAGGAGTTGAGCGGAGCGATCATCTCGGACGCTCCTTCCTCAAGAGGGGGAGCTAGCTGAGTCAGCGGAACCCCGCTCTCCGAAGAAGTATAAGACAACGAAGCTTCCGCACCATCAGGAGGAACGCTCTCGGAGGAACGCTCTCGGAAGAAAGGACCGTCGCCATCGGATCATCTTCGGCTCCAAGAAGAAATCGACAATTGCTCAGGAAAAGACTCTGACGACGTCAGCATGTCTACCTCGTTTCGAGTCAAGGCCGTCTAGGGTCTCCAGGATGGGTTTGAGGATCCTGTGGATTTCTTTGACGATATCAAGACTGCAGTTGAAAGGGAATACAACCGGGAGTCCGCAGCACTGAAGGCTGCCGGAAGGCTGGTAGAAGCGAATGGGATGGAAGCTCATGCAGCCGAAGAAAAGGCTCTTTAAGACAAAAAGAATCGGGATTGTCGCTTATTATTCCGTTGGGCACCTTTCTTGTTTTTCTGATCTTCGAACTTGTTTTGGACTTTTACTTGGTTTCGTTGATTTCAGCCTGGACTGGCTTGTAAAACACGCATCCAATGTGCACAGTTGAAACTCTCTCGTTCGGTGGTTTTTCTGAACCAATTTTTTTATTGTGGTAATATGTACTTGAGAGATGTTCTTCTGTTCTCATGAAATTTATGAAATTTCTAATTTCCAAAGGCAGTACATATCTTTGATTGGAGTCAGCTTTCAAGGTTATCGCTCCTTCTATTGACCTATTTTGTACATGCGCTACTTTCTTGCCGATATACAATTGGGGCATGGTGATCCTTTTATGCGACTAGCTTTTCTTCCGGGGCTTGCATCTAAAAAAGAAGTAGATCGATGTTATTTGTGTAGTAACTATGATTCTTTCCGTGGACTAGAGGGGTAATGTCCACCCATCTGAGAGACATCAGCAACCCATTTTGACAATGCATGGATATGCACCGGGATTTGATCCAACCAGTACTACATATGGTTCATCCTTCCAATCCCGTGCCATGAAATCGTTTGCTTCCACTCCCTATTGATGATAGAAATATTCGAGGATGTCGCGATCCATGTTGTTTTAGATTGATTGTTGCCTGAGGCGACGATGAAGTAATCGAATGTTAGCACTAAACCCAAAAGGGCATTCGTGCAACGTCGACCCTGCCATCTAATCGCAAGCCCTCAAGCCCATTGTTCTCTCATAAATTCCTGGTTTGGGTGTGGTGCTTGTTTTCTGTTCTCTTCCTTTGGGGTTGTGCCAATTTGTCTGCTCCACCTGAGCCACGCTCATTTGTCAACAGAGGAGTCGATTTACAGCGCCGTCCAGCCCACCCTTGACCAACAAGACGGGGTGCAATAGCTCCTCACAGGGCAAGCCGACTTCAAATTGTGCCGATCTACTTCCAATGTCCTGACCCCGTCGTATAGGACTTGACTACTGCGCTACCAACAGTCAACGGGATTCTCTGTCGTCTGGAGGGGATCATCATACCCTGGTCGCCGAGCAGCTCTCACGTGGAGGCTAGAGCTATAGGTCTATGGCGGAGAACAAGCGCCAGGTTTCAGTAAAGGCCTCTGCGCAGAAACAATCTGGTAACGCAGTAGGCCCCGGGATGGCGACACCCACAGTGCCCCTGGAGGCCGCACTGAGCGGGGCGATCGGTGCCCGGTGAGTCTTATCTGCCAGCGATGGTGTATACAAAGTCGCAGAATGCTGACATTTCCCGGTCTAGCGTTCGTATCACGACCGCGCAGCCTATTCAATCCACTTTCGAAGGTACACTCTTCACAGCATGCCCAATCACCAACCTCGTGGCCATCAACACGGCCCCCGCACCCAACTCCGGCGACGCCAAACAGGCGCAGAACGGCGACTACCGCGTGATCCCCATCTCGCGCATTCAAAACTTCCAGCTCCTTGCCCTTGCCCCACCCTCGAACTCCAGCTCGTCCTCGTTCACAGACGCACATCCCACAATCCAGGCACTCGATACCCGTGCGCTCAGGGCTCGCGAGGCAAAGGCTATCGGCGAGGCGCTTGACCGTGAAGCGCGTCGTGGTAAGGGCGTTACTACACAGGCCCAGGATCTATTTGATGCTTTCAGCCGCACTATGCCCGCGCGATGGAACGGCCACAACATAATCGTCGCCGATGCTGTGACAATTGCTCCTCCTTACCGCGTTGATGATTGTCGTTCGATCGTGGAAGGTGATACGGCTGCTCTTGCGCGAGTGCGCAAGGTGGTAAGTTGTTTAATCATCCATGCCAACAAAACGGAGCTAACTTCTGGAACTAGCTCGAGATGGAGCGAAAGAAGATTGAGCTTCGCAATGCCAGCGCCACCATCGGCTCGACTAGCACCTTCTCTCGCATCCCGAATCTTCCTAATGACCAGCGTAAAGGTGGATAATGTGCCTGATCTCGCAAATTCCGGAAACGCAGTCCTCCGATGAAGTTGTGGATAGGTCTGACGTCAGTCTGAGCGTCTTGGTGGCGCTTGATCAACAAGGTTGATGGAAATTACCCAAGCGAAAAAAACACGTTATTGCAATGGGATAAAGAGAATTCGAAAGCGGATCCGACGGGACACTGCGCGTTCTTGACCGCTTGTGGG